GGTACGAGTATGAATATTTATCATCATTTTATTGAAAATTGGACAACCTTTTCTATAAAAACGAAACGTCTGTGGTTATCCAAAGTCGAATTGTAGAAAAAAATTATTTAATATCACAAACGTTCATTCAAAGCGCCCTCACTAATTCCTGTGTGTCGTCAAGCCAGAGTTATCCTATGCTGTCGTGTGAAGCTTTTTATATCTTTGTGTCGTTCTTGGTATTTATGCAAATTTTTCTTGGAATAAAGATTACAAAGTGGAGCTATATCATAATAATAAGTATACCACGATTAACAAAAACTATTTTCTTGCCAATGTTTTACCCTTAATTTTTTTAAATGCATTATATAGCTTTACTAGTTTTCCGTTTCAACTCTCGAGTTCTAGCTGTTTTTAAGAGTTTGTGTTGAAAACGAAAGCAGTTCTGAAAGCTCTCCTCGTGTTCAGGAATGCGGGAAATTTAGTAATTTCTCATTATAAATTATAAAAAAAAGCTGTCATATGATTAACCATAACACACACAGACACACGCACATGCAAACTCTTGTTTATATCAATGGTATACTGAAATCTGGAACGTAGTCATAAAGAGAAAAATCAAATTTGTTTTGTTGTCTACTTACTTGGTTTATTTTTCAGCAATGTTATATATACATGTGAGAATTACATTTAGAATTACATTTATGGTTCAACTAGTGTTATTAATGCTATAAGACAAATACTTTCTAGTACTAAAAGCTATACGGTTTATTGTTAAACAAGGTGCTATTGCTTAAGACTAATTATGGCACTAGTGCTAGTGCAATATTCATGCATAGATGGGTATATAGCTTGCAACTAAAATGGCGAGGAATGCGAGAATCGTCGTTGGTTCCTTGGAAGAACGAGCTGAAGAAGAGACTGGGGAGGAAGGCTCAATTTTTCTCGGGGATGTGATGTTAAATGCAAGTACTTCACAATCCCAATCCAAGCAGCCGTTCAATTTCATGATGTTAACATCCTTACCATCAACTTTTAAGTCGATCTTTCCACTCAAAACGTCTTCGGTTAGTTTTATCAAAACTTCAGTGATGTTTGTTGGTTGGGTCGAGAACAATGTTCCATTGTCAACGCCTTCGTATTTATAACGATCAGCCAGAAGAAATCGGATGGACATTGTGTTGTTGTCGTCTGTCGTCTTGTTGTTTGCATAAGCAAACCAGGAAACGTTCTTATTCTGCCATTCCTGTCTCACGGCTAGTGCATCAACAATCTTTCCAGCAAGTTGTGATCTTTCAGTTTCTTGGTCATCTCTGATTGACCGCTTTTTTCGTTTAGGCAAGTCGTCGATTTCGATAGACAGATCAAGTTGAATTGGCTGAACATCATCCATTTCCGTCACCCAAGTTGTGATACGTGCTGGAAGATCTACATTACATTCAAATATCTCTTTGACTTTTTTAACTGCTTTTTCAGCATCTGTTCCTGCGCACCCCGCTATCATATCACCCATACCTTTTAAACTGGAGGAGAAAGCGTCAATAAATGCTGATTTGATGGTCCAAAACACTGTCCATCGGTCTGAAAAAGACAGGTCGCAGAACGATAAGGAAGAATCGTCCAGTGGGTTAAGGTAGCAGGGTGTGTGTGTTTCAAAAGCTACAGATTTTAGTTCAGCGCATGTTTTTTCTTGTGTTCTGTCTACCAAAGGAACCAGTTTCAGTTGAAGGCATTTTCGTACAGCGTCAACCCAGCGCTGTCCTTTTTGAGAGAAATCTTTGTAGCTCTTTTTGTAAAGATTGCAAAACTTGTCTGCAAACCCAATGGCGTAATCATCTTCACCACCTTCACACGCAGGGTAGGTTTTGTTGAGACACTCTCTGTACCAGTTGCAGCTGGTTCCATCAGGACTGTAGCACCATGATGGTAGCTTAATACCTTCAGTGGGTTGAGGGGCACTGGAGGAACACTTGCAGTGAGAAAAAACAGTGCCGTTATTTCTGTCGTAGACGTCAACCATGCATTGGTAATAACAGTAAATTCTTCTTCGGTCTGCGCACTTGTGTCTTTTAAATGATTTCGTTCGGATGTAGCGGTCGGTACGACATATGGCCCACTGATAATCATTGTAGCGAGAGATCTTAATGCAATGTGCAGTTCCAGCTGGACCATTAGATCTGTTACATTCCTCTGCTTGGATGAGGTTTATGAAACAGACGGGAGAGAGCAACAAGAATACTATGATTAATGGAGATGTCTTCATATTGAAATAACACTTTTTTTTTTCGAACACTCTGAAAGAACATAGTTAAACATATGATATAAATTAAGCGTTTGAACATATTACAAGTGATTGCATGGTTTGTTTGCAAAATATAGTTTTGATCTGCAGATTCTCAAATCAGAGGTGGGCTATTGTCACAGTGTTAGGAAGAAAAACAGTTTCACATACGAACTCGCAGCGGAGTTGATAGTATATGCGATATAGTTCCGACCTCTAGTGGAATTACAAACACTGACCATACAATGAACTCGAAGTTTCAATATTGAAATTTTTTTGAGGTTTTTGTGATATGCAGAGTTATCAAGGTCGAGATAAGCGTTATATACATTTGAAGAATTGTAAACATAGTATTAACGAATGAAAAACCTTATTTAATAGCAACATCCAAAAATACATCAATTATTAATGCATACATAAATACATTCAAATGAATACCGCTTGTTAACCACCGCAGGCTCACTTGCAGATAACTCAGTTATCTGCTAACAGAATTTTGCGTGATTTCGCGATTTATCTGTCAACTATTAGCCAATCAAATTGCTTTTACTACCATAATGTATAATAAATCTTTTTATTAATTTATATTATAAAAGAAATAGAAAACATTTTTTCCTGTGTTTCTATACAGTTATAGAAACACGCGTGGGAGTTTGGGGGAACGAGAAATAATCAGTGGGAAAACGAGCCTGTATGGCGAGTTTTTCCAAGTTATTTCTATTTATTAATTACCAAACTGTCATCTCCAGTACAATTTTTTGGTAGATTTTAAAATAAAAGCTTTTGTGAAAGAATTCCTCATGTTCAGGAGTGCTTGAAATTGTGTTCTTGTAATAAATAAACCAGCATCTGTTCGTCAATCTCACGTACACGGTAGAGTACATATATAGTCAGAGAGAGAAATTAGAGTTTTGCTTTTGTATTTACTTTGTTTTATGTCCCAGTTATGTTGTACATATGAAAACTGCATTTAGATATACACACTCTCTTCTGGTATCAATCCAAACAATATTGTCGGGAAGAAGCAAAACTAAATATCTCTGCAAGTATTTTGGCTAAAGACCCCGGAATACCATCAAACGATAGCGCTTGAAAAGATTATTTAAATATTATATTCAAACAAGCAAATAACTATAAGTTGCATTTGTATTATAAGTCAAAACAGGAGTTAAAATAATAGGTCGCTTTATTATCTCAAATTATTACTCACCAATAGCAACCATATAGCTACTTTAGAAATTCCGTCTTTTTTCGCTTTTTTGTTCTCTGTTGTCTTCAAAATGTCTGCATTATCATATTATCATTCTGTTATAACTTCAAGTATTTTTTTGAAGAGGTAGAATGTGCTGTGCAAAAGAATCGAAGAAATAGCGTTTTGTAAGTTCTAAGCGTCAATTGTTGCTAAGCGCGTGCTTGTGGCGTTCTCGGAATGTTGTCATGGCGGTCATGCGGTTGGAAAATGTGACAAAACTCCATGATACCCTCCCCCCTAAGGTAAATTTGACCCCAAAAATCGATTCCTGACGAAAAATTGGACCAAGGGAGCAGTTTTTCGGCTGTTTTTGCCCTCATGTTTTTATATATATTCTAATAACGAGAATGTCGTTCAACTTTTTAATTTCCGGCCTGAGTTTACTTCTCGAAGTTCTTTGTGAGGGGCATTTCATCGGTAGAATGCTGTGTCGGTATAGAATCTATTTCTGGTAATCAAAGAAGAAGGCAAATAATTTTTTGTGTCAATGACCACGAACAGTAAATGTCTAGCCTTTTTCTAATTACAATATAATTACGAAAACAATCTTTGTCACATGTTCAGTTATTCTATTAAGCCCGACCTTCACAGCTGACACAAAGTATACAATTCAGTTTCATTTTCACACAAGTATTTCTCGTATTTATCAAAGTCTCATCAAAACTTCAGTGAGGTTTGGCTGAACAATGTTCCGTTGTTCCGTCAGTTAAAAATGGACTGGACTTAGATTTAGTTCTCATTATAATCAATAGCTAGCATGTGTTTATCCATTCCACACGCAACCCCTCGTCAGCATGAGGTGTTAGAAATAAGGTGCATAGCCGTAGAAACACACCTTTTAATGATATTTCGGAGAAACGATCTCTGGTGTTGCGCATACAATCTATTCTTGGAAGTCAATGAAGAAGACAGAACAATAGCTATTCTCTTAAACACAACCAACCATAGCAGGACAAAATTCATTTCACAGTAAGGGTTCCTTTTCTGACTATTTCTCTAAATTTAATATCACGAACGTTCATTCAAAGCTCCTCGATAATTGCCGTGAGTTATTCTATGCTATTGTGTGGAGGTTTTTTATTATCTTTATATCATGTTAGCTCTTGGTATTTATGCAGATTTTTCGTGGAAAATGAACTACAATGTGGAATTATTTCATGATGATAAATACACTTCAATTAACAGAAACTATTTTCTTGCCCATGTTTTGCCCTTAATTTTTGTAATGCATTATATAGCTTTACTAGATTTCCGTCTCAACTCTCGAGTACGGTTTTTAAGAGTTTGTGTTGAAAACGAAAGCAGTTCTGAAAGCTCTCCTCGTGTTCAGGAATGCGGGAAATTTAGCAACTTCTCATTATAAAAAAAAGCTGTCATATGATTAACCATAACACAGACACACGCACATGCAAACTCTTCTTTATATCATTGGTATATTGAAATCTGGAACGTAGTCATAAAGAGAAAAATCAATTTTGTTTTGTTGTCTACTGACGTGTTTTATTCTTCAGCAATGTGATACATGTGAGAATTACATTTAGAAAAACTTACTACAAATTATAGTTCAGCTAGTTTTATGAATGCTATAACACAAATACTTCTACTAAAAGCTATACGCATCAAATGTGGTATAACAACTGCCTACATTTGATGCTAAGTTGTTTGAAGACGCTACCACGCTGCTCCTTGGTTATATAAAAGCTATACGGTATATTGTTAAACAAGGTGCCATAGCTTAAGACTAATTATGGCACTAGTGCAATATTCATGCATAGACAGGTATATAGCTCGCAACTAAAATGGCAAGAAATGCGAGAACCTTGGAAGAAAGAGCTGAAGAAGGGACTGGGGAGGAAGACCCAATTTTTCTCGGAGATGTGATGTTAAATGCAAGTACTTCACAATCCCAATCCAAGCAGCCATTCAATTTCATGATGTTAACATCCTTACCATCAACTTTTAAGTCAATTTTTCTATTCAAAACGTCTTCGGTTAGTTTTATCAAAACTTCAGTGAGGTTTGTTGGTTGGTTCGAGAACAATGTTCCATTGTCAACGCCTTCGTATTTATAACGATCAGCCAGAAGGAATCGGATGGACATTGTGTTGTTGTCGTCTGTCGTCTTGTTGTTTGCATAAGCAAACCAGGAAACGTTTCTATTCTGCCATTCCTGTCTCACGGCTAGTGCATCAACAATCTTTCCAGCAAGTTGTGATCTTTCAGTTTCTTGGTCATCTCTGATTGAGCGCTTTTTTCGTTTAGGCAAGTCGTCGATTTCGATAGACAGGTCAAGTTGAATTGGCTGAACATCATCCATTTCCGTCACCCAAGTTGTGATACGTGTTGGAAGATCTACTATCCATTCTATTGTCTCCTTGACTTTTTCAACTGCTTTTTGAACATCTGTTCCTGCGCACCCCGCTATCATATCACGCATACCTTTCAAACTGGAGGAAAAAGCGTCAGTAAATGCTGATTTGATGGTCCAAAACACTGTCCATCGGTCTGTATAAGACAGGTCGCAGAATGATAAGGAAGAATCGTCCAGTGGGTTAAGGTAGCAGGGTGTATGTGTTTCAAAAGCTACAGATTTTAGTTCAGCGCATGTTTTTTCTTGTGTTTTGTCTACCAAAGGAACCAATTTCAGTTGAAGGCATTTTCGTACAGCGTCAACCCAGCGCTGTGCTTTTTGAGAGAAATCTTTGTAGCTCTTTTTGTAAAGATTGCAAAACTTGTCTGCAAACCCGATGGCGTAATCATCTTCACCACCTTCACACGCAGGGTAGGCTTTGTTGAGACACTCCCTGTACCAGTTGCAGCTGGTTCCATCAGGACTGTAGCACCATGATGGTAGTTTAATACCTTCTGTCGGAGGAGGGGCACTGGGGGAACACTTGCAGTCGGAAAAAACAGCGCCGTTATTTTTCTCGTGTACATCAAGCATGCATTGGTAATGGCAGTAGGTTCTTGTTTGGTCTGCGCACCGGTGTCTCCCATACGATTTTGCTTTGATGTATCTGTCGGTACGACATATGGTCCACTGATAGTCATTATAACGAAGAAACTTAACGCAATGCACTGTTCCGGCTGGACCAAAAGATCTATCACAATCTGCTCTAATGTGGTTTAGGAAACAGGCGGAAAAGAGCAACAAGGATACTGTGATTAACTGGGATGTCTTCATATTATTAAATAACACTTTTCTCTTCAAACACTCTGAAAAAAAATAGTTAAAATGTGAATTAAACGTTTGAACATATTACAAGTGATCTCATGGTTTGTTTGCAATATATAGTTTTGATCTGCAGATTGTACAAATCAGGGTTGGCTACTGTCACAGTGTTAGTCATGTTAGGAAGAAAAACAGTTTCACATGCGAACTGCTCGCTGCGGAGTTCATAGTATATCCAGTGAGGGGATCTAGGAGGGGTGTGCAGAATAAATTACACAGCTTAATTTTAAATTCAAAACACCTTAATAACAACGCTATTGGTTATAGATTTGAAAAGAATGTAGTAATTTATTCTGCACACCTCTAGATCCGCCACCGAGTATATGCGATATATACTTCCGGCCTCTAGTGAAATTACAAACAGTTCCTGGAAAAGTGAACCCAACCCATAAGTTCAACTCATAAGTACTAGTAGAAGCCACTTGTGCATGCATGTAAACTAACTCTCTCTAACTTTCGTTACCATGGAACGATAAAGAAAATATTGCTTTCACTTAGGGTATCTCAAGTTCGTTAGCGTCTTTTAACATCACATGCATAGATTTAAACTGTATCCAGGGAATTAAACTGTCTTGCAAATCAAAATATGGAATTCTTGAACTGATTATAGACTTGGTGATTAGACCCGCAGATTTTTTTGCCATCTCAATCAAGCATTTTAAGCAAGTCCTTAGTTCAATTTTAGACTGTATAACATCGCACAAATACGCCAAAATAACGTAAGCATCTTTACAGCAGTACGGTTGTGTTTTGAATCGAAATAGGACGAATAATGCGCTGTCGGCCATTGTTTCATAACCGCACTAAAAATCTTGTAGTACTGAATTTCGCGTAAACGAAATTATACTTAAGATAAGAAATGAAATGAGAACTATAGAAGACATACCTTTGTTATGAAGATGGAGAAGAACTCTGTTTGTCTCAAGAGGGAAGTTTAGTAATGAACTACCTTTGCAAAAGCACTGATGTTGTCAGCTGCGATAACCAAGCTTCGTGTCATAACGACGTGTATGAAAAATGATATCATTCAATTACTGCATGTTTGAACCCATTGGATGAACCAGAAGTAATATTTACACAAGTATTTTCTGTCAGATATGCTGACGTAATATTATGTCACAATAGAATACTATACTACCTGACTTGCATATGTCTGTATGCCTCGCTTTTTTGATGCTCGTGCTATATATTTTGCATGGTTTAAAGAACGAAAGAGTTTCATTACTTTCATATGTTTTGTTTTCAATCAGTTAAAAAATTTTCACGCATAAATTGAACAGGTTCATAGCTTATATAGGCATGCAATCTAAAGTAAAGTTGGGAAACTAAAGCTATATGTTTTTCGCCTAAGCATGACTATACGCTTAAAATTTAAGTAAATCAAGTTACACGTCTCCTAAAGATATTAATTGACAATCTTTTAATGCTGTTTATATATATGGTTTACCTGACAAAATATTAAATATTTGAATCCTCATTCTTCGCGGCGCACAAATAGCTACATGCAGGATAGCTATATATGTAATATGTATATGTATATATATATATATATATATATATATATATATATATATATATATATATATATATATATATATATAAAAAAGGAAATATATCGGGGAAAACATTAATGTTGATTTTATTTAATATTTATAATATAAGTATGATATAACGAGCAATTTGATTGGCTACCGCGCGTGCATTGTGAGGCCATAATGCACGCTTCTGGCTTTTGAAGTTTTTGTTGCTAAGCAACATCTCAAATAACATGTAAGGAGAATTTCATTATTGATCAAATAAATAAATGTTGTTGTTGCCCTATAATTTCTTCTTATATTATAAAAGAATTAAAAAAGCTCGTCGCGTGCCTTTATGGTGTAATAATGCACTCGGGGAAATGTTGGAAGAATACTCGAGAAGCTTGTAAAAGCTTCTCTCGTATTCTCCCAACATTCCCCCATCGTGCATTATTACACCATAAAGGCACGCGACTTGTTTTTTAATTCTTAAATAAACTATCATGTTTTCTCAGTATTGTATTATTTATACTAATAAAACAAATGTTATAATACATGCAGTAAGAAAGACAGTTCATGCATGTCTTGGCCACGTTGTTCTACCCCCATGCACTTGAGTGAAATGCATTACCTTTACGTATCTTTATCAAATTGCCATCTCGAGTAGAATTTGGTATAGTTTTTAAAATAAACCGCGCTTTTTTCAAAGAATTCCTCATGTTCAGGAGTGCTTGAAATCGTGTTCTTATGATAATAAATAGCTCAGCATGCATGCATGTGTTTATCTATAACTCATTCACACACACCCTATACATATAGTCACTGAAAGAAATGAGAATATTACTTCATATTTACTTTACTTTTTTACGTTGCTGTTATAAGTTTTACATGCATGCATATGAGAATTACATTCAGGTCTAAAAACGTACTACTTTTAATTATGGTGCTTCTTGTTGCTGAGATTATGCCATGAAATATGTTCAAAACGAAATCTAACTTACTTTAAACCTTAAAAACCTTTTTTGGCTTTTTTTGGTTAAAGCTTACATCTATAAAAACAGTCTAAAGTGTTCCTAAACAACAGTTGTAATGTCAGTGTTTATGATACGAACAAATAGTTGGAAATCAAAACGACGAAGCAGACAAAAGGCAAAGTATACACTCTGGCCTTGTGTGATTCAGCTGAATTGCATCGACAACTTTCCTGGACGTCGCCTGAAGGTAGATGATACTTTTCCAACATACACTGATAGTAACAGTATGTTGCAGCGCTGTGTTCGCATCTGTGCTGGCCTGACGTTATTGATCTGATGTAGGAGTCTCTACGGCACGTTGTCCATTGGTAGTCATTGTAGTTTGGAAGTTTAAGACATATCCTAACTCCGTTTGGCCCAGTGTAAGGATTGCAGGATTCTGCCTTGATGTTGTCAATGATGCCACAGGCCACAATGATTAACACAAGCAGTACGTTGATCGTCTTCATATTAAGTTCGCTTGTTGGCTCAACAACTTGCCAGATTCTAAATATGCGATGTGCGTTATTCAACATTATGTAGATTACCTAGCTATATTCTACATTTTTCCTATTGGGTCTATATAGTCTTTGTTACTTCACGCATGTTCTTGAAGTTTCCTAGTCAAGTAATGCTATACATGTTGAATTGGTCTTGTAGACGTGGCACTCCAAATTTAATCAACCATTATATACGTGCGTCAAATTCTTTCTTGCCTTATTTTCATGAAACAAGATCTGATTGTGGTGCTTGGTTCTCTACACCTACCATCTACCTTCAATGAAGGCAACTTCCATTAAGAAACGAATGTATTTTGTATAAAAATAACGCGTATCTGCAACGACACTGTATTCGCTATGCCACGCCTTATATTTCTTCATTTATGCACCCATTTCAAAAACATCTGCTAAAAGTGAAATAATCTGCATGTGGAAGCTAAATAATTTCATTTATCTTTCTTTTATTTTGCTAGTAATGTAATAATTTAAGAAACACACCTTTTAATGATATTTCGGAGAAACGATCTCTGATGTTGCCCAGCGCTGTTCAAACCATCTACTGACGCTGTTGTGACACCCTCTGCATTATTAACCCTTCATTAATTCATTGGTGACGTGCAATACAATTTATTCTTGGAAGCCAATGAAGAAGACAGAACTATTGTTCAGCTATTCTCTTAAACACAACCAACCATAGCAGGACAAAATTAACTTCACAGTAAGGGTTCCTTTTCTGACTATTTCTCTAAATTTTATATCACAAACGTTCATTCAAAGCTCCCCGATAATTGCCGTGAGTTATTCTATGCTATTGTGTGGAGCTTTTTTATTATCTTTATATTATGTTAGTTCTTAGTATTTATGCAGATTTTTCGTGGAAAATGAACTACAATTTGGAATTATTTCATGATGATAAATACACTTCAATTAACAGAAACTATTTTCTTGCCCATGTTTTGCCCTTAATTTTTTGTAATGCATTATATAGCTTTACTAGATTTCCGTCTCAACTCTCGAGTACGGTTTTTAAGAGTTTGTGTTGAAAACGAAAGCAGTTCTGAAAGCTCTCCTCGTGTTCAGGAATGCGGGAAATTTAGTAACTTCTCATTATAAAAAAAAGCTGTCATATGATTAACCATAACACAGACACACGCACATGCAAACTCTTGTTTATATCAATGGTATACTGAAATCTGGAACATAGTCATAAAGAGAAAAATCAAATTTGTTTTGTTGTCTACTTACGTGTTTTATTTTTCAGCAATGTTATATATGTGAGAATTACATTTAGAAAAACTTATTACAAATTATAGTTCAGCTAGTTTTATGAATGCTATAAGACAAATACTTTCTACTACTAAAAGCTATACGCATCAAATGTGGTATAACAACTGCCTACATTTGATGCTAAGTTGTTTGAAGACGCTGCCACGCTGCTCCTTGGTTATATAAAAGCTATACGGTTTATTGTTAAACAAGGTGCCATTGATTAAGACTAATTATGGCACTGGTGCAATATTCATGCATAGACAGGTATATAGCTTGCAACTAAAATGGCAAGAAATGCGAGAACCTTGGAAGAAAGAGCTGAAGAAGGGACTGGGGAGGAAGACCCAATTTTTCTCGGGGATGTGATGTTAAATGCAAGTACTTCACAATCCCAATCCAAGCAGCCATTCAATTTCATGATGTTAACATCCTTACCGTCAACTTTTAAGTCGATCTTTCCATTCAGAACGTCTTCGGTTAGTTTTATCAAAACTTCAGTGAGGTTTGTTGGTTGGGTCGAGAACAATGTTCCGTTGTCAACGCCTTCGTATTTATAACGATCAGCCAGAAGGAATCGGATGGACATTGTGTTGTTGTCGTCTGTCGTCTTGTTGTTTGCATAAGCAAACCAGGAAACGTTTTTCTTCTGCCATTCCTGTCTCACGGCTAGTGCATCAACAATCTTTCCAGCAAGTTGTGATCTTTCAGTTTCTTGGTCATCTCTGATAGACCGCTTTTTTCGTTTAGGCAAGTCGTCGATTTCGATAGACAGGTCAAGTTGAATTGGCTGAACATCATCCATTTCCGTCAACCAAGTTGTGATTCGTGTTGGAAGATCTACTATCCATTCTATTGTCTCCTTGACTTTTTCAACTGCTTTTTGAACATCTGATTCTGCGCACCCCGCTATCATATCACGCATACCCTTAAAACTGGAGGAAAAAGCGTAAAGAAATGCTGATTTGATGGTCCAAAACACTGTCCATCGGTCTGTATAAGATAGATCGCAGAATAATAAAGAGGAATCGTCCAGTGGGTTATGGTAGCAGGGTGTGTGGCTCTCAAAAGCTACAGATTTTAGTTCAGCGCATGTTTTTTTGTGTGTTCTGTCTACCAAAGGAACCAGTTTCAGTTGAAGGCATTTTCGTACAGCGTCAACCCAACGCTGTGCTTTTTGAGAGAAATCTTTGTAGCTCTTTTTGTAAAGATTGCAAAACTTGTCTGCAAACCCGATGGCGTAATCATCTTCACCACCTTCACAGGCAGGGTAGGCTTTGTTGAGACACTCTCTGTACCAGTTGCAGCTGGTTCCATCAGGACTGTAGCACCATGATGGTAGTTTAATACCTTCAGTCGGAGGAGGGGCACTCGGAGAACACTTGCAGTCGGAAAAAACAGCGCCGTAATCTTTCTCGTGTACATCAAGCATGCATTGGTAATAACAGTAAGTTCTTGATCGGTCAATGCACTTGTGTCTTCCAAATGATTTGGTTCGGATGTAGCTGTTGGTACGACATGTGGCCCACTGATAGTCACTGTAGCCATAAAGCTTAACGCAATGTACAATTCCAGCTGGACCATTATATCTGTTACATTCCTCTGCTTGGATGAGGTTTATGAAACAGACGGGAGAGAGCAACAAGAATACTATGATTAATGGAGATGTCTTCATATTGAAATAACACTTTCTTTTTTGAACACTCTGAAAAAGCATAGTTAAACATATGAATGTAAATTAAGCGTTTGAACACATTACAAGTGATTTCATGGTTTGTTTGCAATATATAGTTTTGATCTGCACATTGTACAAATCAGAGGTGGGCTACTGTCACAGTGTTAGTAATGTTAGGAAGAAAAACAATTTCACATACGAGCTCCTCGCAGCGGAGTTGATAGTATATGCGATATAATTCCGGCCTCTAGTGAAATTACAAACATTTCGGGGAAAAGTGAAACCAACCCATAAGTTCATAACAAATTGTTAAATCAGGTTTTAGAGTTCGTTGGGCTCTAATATGTTGAGAGACCCTTTAATTGCACCGTTTATTGGCCAAATTTATGCTTTTACGTTATGACAAACGATGAAGTATTATGTCACTCCCTTCAAAGTGACAAACTGCTGTGTGTGATATGGCGTGAACAAATTGTCATTCTCCGCATGGAATGATATAAGCTATAAGAATATCGAACCGTTATTATGAGTATAATTGGTAAAAACTGGAAGTCGTACCTTTCTAAGTGAAATAGCTTTGCTTTTGAAACGTTTTGAGCTCTGTCGACAAGCCTTGAGTGTTGCTTTGCTATTGTGTACTTTATTGTATCTAAATCTTGTTGTTTGTCATGCGTGACAGGTTCATGCATATGTAAACTATTATGTGTGTTTCTATGCAACATGACATTATTTATACTAATAAAGAAATGTTACAGTAAAAAAACAATCCATTTCTCGGCTATGGACGTTGTTGTACCCTCATTTAGTGAAATGCATTACCATTATATATAGCTTTACCAAACTGCCATCTCCATTAGAATTTTTTGGTAGGTTTTAAAATAAACGCTTTTGTCAAAGAATTCCTCATGTTCAGGAGTGTTTGAAATTGTGTTCTTGTAAATAATAAATAAAGCAGCATCTGTTCGTCAATCTCACTTACACGGTAGAGTACATATATAGTCAGAGAGAGAAATTAGAGTTTTGCTTTTGTATTTACTTTAATGTTTTATGTCCCAGTTATGTTGTACATATGAGAATTACATTTACATATTAAAACGTATTACATTGAAGCAATTAATTCTAACTTTCATGCTTTTTGTTGCTGAGGTAATTCATAGTTGGGTATAATGCTATGAAATATGTTCAAAACGAAATCTAACTTTAGTAACTTACTTTAAACCTTAAAAGCCTTTTTTTGGTTAAAGCTTGCGTCTATAAAAACAGTTTAAAGTGTTCCTAAACAACAGTTGCAATGTCAGTGTTTATGATACGAACAAATAGTTGGAAATCAAAACGACGAAGCAGACAAAAGGCAAAGTATACACTCTGGCCTTGTGTGATTCAGCTGAATTGCATCGACAGCTTTCCTTGACATCGCCTGAAGATAGATTATACTCTTCCAACATACACTGATAGTAACAGTATGTTGCAGCCCTGTTTTCACATTTGTGCTGGCCTGTCGTTTTTGATCTGATGTAGGAGTCTTTTCGACACGTTGTCCATTGATAGCCATTGTAGTTTGGCAGTTTAAGACATATCCTAGCCCCGTCAGGTCCGGTGAGAGGATTGCAGGTTTCTGCCTTGATGTTGTCAATGATGCCACAGGCCACAATGATTAACACAAACAGTACGTTGATCGTCTTCATGATGAATTCGTTTATTTCCTGAACGATTTGCAAGGTTCTGTAAAATACAAATATAGTCTGCATTAAATAACGTGTGGCAGAGTTGTAGATAAAGTGGACGTTTTCTTTGTTTTTTCGTTCTTTCAACCTAGTGATGAGCCTACCATCGTCTTCACATGAAACAAACTTTAACCAGAAAACGAAAGCACTGTGTAGGTAACAGTGAAATGTGATGATACATGTCTGTTAGTCCTGGCTTCGCATTTTATGCGCCCGGTCACGTCACGTTTGGCAATTTGATACTTTTTCTCGCGTTTCTTGGAACAACCTCAATTTGCTTCTTGGAAAAATACGATTCTATTTTGCATGCATGCTTTCATTCTTAGCCTATATGTATATATAAGATGTGCTTTTTAATTTCGACGGTACAGGCTATAGATATATGCTAGTGCGGGTCGATGATTTCACTGGATTTCCCTAACTTCACCACAAGTTGTTTTTAAGTGAACCTTTTGCTTTCGCTATGGAATGAGTCTTCTCAAACATTCACGCAGATATTATTTCGTTAAATGAAATATTCTAAAATACAGCACCGTGTAAGCATGCTCAGAATATGGTACAGTTTATTTCACCGGATTTTCGTAACTCCACCGCAAGATTTTTGAAGCGAGTGAAACTTTTACTTTCGATATGGGACGCGTCTTCCAAGAAACTCTAACTCGTGTTATATCTCACACATTCAGAAGTATATTATTTTAGGTAGTTTTGCTGTGTTTATTTCGATCTTATTAAATCCATTATCTTTTTATTTGCTTGCGGAGTTGTGGGAACCATTTGCAGTGCTGATGGTCTGTGCAAGTGACGTGTACTTACTAAAATACATCGTATGCTATCTAGCGTCATTTATAGAGTGAAGGCTTTGGCTTTGTATAGAAAAAGCTAAGATTTGTTTCGAAAGATCAACTTCTCGAACGGTCTTTGTCTTAAAAAAGTAATGTGGGTTTAATTTCTACTGCAAACAGGCTGCGATCATTCTGTTTTCCTGGTTTGTTTTACTCAGCGACAAAGAGAACAAACGCATGGTGTATACGCAGATATTTTATACCTTTCTCTATTATGGTACACAAGAATATACCTCTGTGCAATTGAAAAAGAATCACAATATAGAAGAAGACGTACCTTTGATTTGAAGATCGCGAAGATGGCTTTTTGCATGGGACTAGAACTTGGGTGTAGTTGACGAGTGCCTTCGCTGAAGTGTTAGGCAACGTTTACTTCTTCGTTTTATGTTGCTCAGGTTACCATGATCATCCTGTCATTGACCTGTCATTGACATTGGTGATGACATTGACCATGCATTCACGTGATATCAATTAAATCCATCAGTCAATAAAGGGGAAAAAAAGATATACAAGACAAACAAAGGGTCTAGATAATGGGGGTGCACTTGGTTTAGAGAGAATTTTAAACGGGTACTTTGTCTTTTGGGCGACTATCAAAGCCTTTATATGCAGCAATTAAATCGTTCTCTTAATTTTGCTGCAATTTCATATCGTTTCTCTTTTTCCGCATTCTTATGTTTTGACAGCCTGTCATAAGGGTCTTTTTTTATATGCTTTCGATTTGTGTCTTCCAAGAAATGGTTTGTTCGCGTGTTTTGTCGCACACATGCATTGAGGGGTCGGTTGAATAAATCTCTCGCTCAGAAATACACGACTCTGATTGGCCAATCCTGTCTTTAAATACAGTTAAAGGTTAACTAGTCTTTTATACGACTGGCCCCAGGATATTATTCAAGCGTTTTTTGTACTCGGAAGAGAACTGTGGAAAAATGCATTGGAAGAGACGCACGCGCGTTTTAAAGTTTGAGGGAGTCATTTGTTGACTTTGCTGTCGTTGATGGGCGTGTTGATCATAAAATGCATGTGTGTATATAGGTTCATGTTTTTGCACAATTGAATAACGAAACCTTAGTTTATTTGTTTTCATGTTTTCAGGAGTGAAAGAATTTGCTTTAAAACTTTAACGTCAATCCCATGCAGGTTGTCTATGCAGATATATATGGATGGCCAGGCAGGCAGTTGTTGTTGTGTTTTGAAAATTGAAACTTTCCTGCGCTCTCCTGTAACCAACATACTCCCCCCCCCCTGTATGCTGTTGAAATGATTTAAAATCAATGCTTCACTCCGCTTTAGAAATGAATGTGAAATGCAATGTTCCAATTCAAACATTACAATAAATATTTGCAAATAACAATAAGATAAAAGTGGTTATATATTTATACACTTGGATTACATTCATTCCAGTGCGACGTATCGCAAGTATATAAGCGTCTATTCGTTTTTATATTTAGAAACACTATATTTGTTCATGTGTGTCCTAAAGCCTCGCGATAAAGTGCAAGCCATTCATATCAGTTCTTTTATTTCTGTTTATAATTGCAAAGTATATAATGTCATTTATGGCAACGTAGGTTTGTTTTTATATGATTACAATAGAAAGTTGATAACAAAGATTAAGATATATACAATTGTGAGAGTATTGAGTGATCTGGGGGTGTCAGCTGCATTGCAAAAGATCACTCGACCATTTTTAGTAAAACAATTAGCCTTTTTCCGTTGTGTTGGATTTGTCGGTGGTTCTGGATTTGTCGGTGGTGGTGTGACAAAAACGGGGAGTTCATAACTAATATCTTGGCAGTTTGAATTTAAACAACCGGTCAGTTTGATAATTTCAACGTTTCTGTGGGTAGCAACTTTAACATTGAGATTCCTCTTTAACACTGCATGGCTTAGTTTCATCAAAATCGCACCGAGATCTGCGCGAACTGAAGATGTGCTGTCCAACCTATAGCGATCATCGAGGAGTAATCTGATATTCAAGTCTTCGCCTTTCTTCACAGCATAGGCAAACCATATCACGTTTTCATCCTTCCACTTTTGCTTTGAGGCTAATTTGTCTACAATCTCAGCAGCAAAAGATGATTGTTCATTCAAACTGGATCCCCTGACCCACCACCAGCTATTTTTCGTGAGTACCATATCAACTTGAATTGGTGAAACTGGTGGGTTTTCAAGCCAAGCTTTGATCCGTAATTCAGCGATTTGTAAATCCCTGGGTGCTCCTGATGAAATGTTAGCTTCGCGCTCTTTCTTATCAAGCTTTTCTTTAACCGTTTGAACAAGAGCGTCATCTTTTACAGTATCTCTGCATTCCCTCATCAAATCTAGAACGCTTTTTAACCCTTTCTCGTAGGTATTATGATAGGATGAGTTGTATCTGAGGTGCCAAAATAAGCCCAATCGATCATCTTCGCCCAGGTCGCAAAATGTGGAATTTGGTTCGCGATAACATTGGCTGTATCTTTCCATGACTGTGGTTCTAATATCTTCACAATTCTTCACTTGTTGATTGGTTGCCAAGAGTGGCGTCAGTTTACGTTTTACGCATTTCACAGTCGCCTCAAGCCATTGGTTTCCCCGCGTGGAAAGAACGTTTGGTTTCTGTTGGTTGAAACTACAAAATTCTGTGAGGAACTTGATTGTTTTTTCATTGTCGTTATCGCAGGATGGAAAGGCTCGGTTGAAACACTGTTTGTACCACGTGCAAGTGTTTGGATCAGGTGTGTAGCACGATGAAGGGACAGTAAACGGGGTGATTGGCTCTCGGGAACTTCGTGTAATACCTCCTGAACTGGGATACGCTGGCGATCCGGATTTTGTTGGATCGCATCGACACTTTTTATAAATCTCGCCACCCCCGTTTCCATACAGGTCTAACATACATTGGTAGTAGCAAGCTGAGTGAATACCAAATGGGCCGCAACTGTGTCTGCCTTTTGACTTTCGTTCTACATACGATTTACTCCGACATGCGGCAATTTGGTAGCCACTGTATCCACTCAATTTAACACAAGCCACTCTTCCTGTTCCAAAAAAGATATTGCATATCCCGGACACAGAATCACATACGAAGCATGCAACGATGACAGCCCAAAACAACACACTTGGGTAGTTTCTTTTCATTCTGGACCAACACTTCTTATCAGAAACCTCCTATAATGTTTATCCAATCTCTAAAATGATAAACACATTAAACACATTAAGTAAGAAATACTTCACATGATCTTATCCAGCTTATGAATTAGTTTATAACTGAACAAGTGCTTTAGTCGCACACATCCACGCTGCATGGGCAAACTGCGAACTTATAACCATAGAGTCGATAAAGACATGCTCTTAGCGCCTAGGAAATATTATCAGGTTAGATTAAAAAACATACCTTGCAAAGTAATCTTCTTTTACACCTCAGTCGCAGTTCACAAGTGTTCAAATAAGTAAATGTTTTCACTGTGTGAGGTTTATATCCATTCTCAGGATGACGTACCAGCATGCTGTTCACGCATGTTTGAAAGAAACGACAGCGTCATTTTAATCATTGCCACAGGGTGTGTGGTAATGTAATGATAACTGGTGTCACATCCATCAACCAATCATAAGTCAGATCCTCGACAAACCAGAATTATTATTCCCTTCATTTCATATGACTTCAGCGCAATTCTGAGTAATTATGTTGTTTCTACGCAGAAACACTCTCGTTTTTAAGTTATTTGTAAATTAGGAATTTAATTTCGCGTCCTTCATACTAATATATATCATCATTATACTTTTACTCAGCGCTGAAACGCGATGCCTCAGCGATAAAATGCATGCCTCAGCAATAAGTTACTAAGCTTCAGCGCTTAATTAACCATAATTTAACTCTGCTTTGGATACCAGAAACCTGCCCACGCATTATTAAGGTTTATCAAACATATCTAACATACCAATATTTAATAGTCGTTTGTGTTGTAAATGAAATAAGTTGTCAATTCAAGCATTATATATAAACGCCGTTTACACCACACTCAATTTATAGGCACGGCACGGCTTAAATGGGTACCGGTCCTATTTCATTTGTGCTCGGTCATTGTATTGGTAATCTGGACACTTGTAAAACTGGGTTCGGGTACCAATTTTAGCTGTGCCGTGCCAATAAATTGAGTGTAGTGTAAACAGGGAAATAATCGTGTTCAGGAACGGCTTGGATTTTTTCAGATAACGAATATGCATGTATGTATCTTTCGTGTCCCAGTCTTACACCCACATCCTCTGTTTATTACTGCGTAGAAATATGCAGACACGATATATAGAGACGGGAAGTAAATACTTCCGATTAGATTAAAACTTATTTAATGAGGTGTTTTATACTCTGGCATTGTACACGCTAGAATTATATAAAATACAAAGCAATAAAACTTGTTCTAAAAGTCTTCAAACTTGACCTCAGGTAAAACTCTACTTCACTAAAACAGTGCAGACTGCAGAATATTAAAGTAAGTCATTGTTTAATAATGTGAACAAATAGTTTGCAACCTGGGAACGAACTTTATGTATATATTCATAGCATCTCGTACCCAGGTCTTTCACCTACGTGAAACATTGCAGGAAACATTCGTTCGTATATAATACTACATAAAAACAGTTATTTTATTTGTGCTTACAAGTGTAAAGAAATATCATTTTATGGCAAATGCGGTTTTGTTTATGATTAAAACAGAAAGTTTGTGATTAACAGGAAAAGACAGACAAAGGAGAGCACGCGCATTGACCTGGGGGCGTCGGCTGCACCGCAAATGACAACTCCATATGTATTAATTTCACATTTGGTTGCATCAACATTAAAAGCATGTTCCTCGCAGCTTGAATCTAGACAACCAATTAGTTTGATAACTTTCTCATAAACTATGTAATACAAATTTTTTTTTAACACATTTTCACTTAGTCCCACCAATATCGTGGCGAGATCTGCCTGACAAGATGATGTGTTGGTGAATTTACAACGATCATCCAAGAGTAATCTTATATTCGAGTTTTCACCATCATTCACAGCATAGGCAAACCACGCCACGTTCTTATCCTCCCACTTTTGTTTTGAGGCTAATCTGTATACAATCTCAGCAGCAAGAGATGATTGTTTATTCAAACTGGATCCAGACCAACTATCTTTCCTGAGTACCATATCAACTTGTATTGGCAAAACTGGTGGGTTTTCAAGCCAAGCTTTGATTCGTAATTCAGCGATTTGTAAATCCTTGGGTGCTCCTGATGAAATGTTAGCCTCGCGTTCTTTCTTATCAAGTTTTGCTTTAACCGTTTGAACAAGAGCGTCATCTTTTGCAGTATCTCTGCATTCCCTCATCAAATCTAGAACGTTTTTTAACCCTTTCTTGTAGGTATTATGATAGGATGAGTTGTATCTGAGGTGCCAAAATAACCCCAATCGTTCATCTTCGCTCAAGTCACAAAATCTTGACTTTGGTTCACGATAACATTGGCTGTATCTTTCCATGACTGTGGTTCTGATATCTTCACAATTCTTCACTTGTTCATCGCTTGCCAAGAGTGGCGTCAGTTTACGTTTTACGCATTTCACAGTCGCCTCAAGCCATTGGTTTCCCCGCGAGGAGAGAACGCTTAGTTTCTTTTGGTTGAAACTACAAAATTCTGTTAGGAACTTGATGGTTTCTTTATTGTCGTTATCGCAGGATGGAAAGGCTCGGTTCAAACACTGTTTATACCACGTGCAATTGTTTGCATCAGGTGTATAGCACGATGAAGGGACAGTAAACGGGGTGATTGGCTCTGGGGAACTTGGTGTAATACCTTCTGAACTGGGGTACGCTGGTGATTCGGATTTTGTTGGATCGCATCGACACTTTTTATAAACCTCGCCAGCCTCTTTTCCATACAGGTCTAACATACATTGGTAGTAGCAAGCTGAGTAAATACCAAATGGGCCGCAACTGTGTTTGCCTTTTGACTTTCGTTCTACGTACGATTTACTCCGACATGCGGCAATTTGGTAACCGCTGTATCCATCCAATTTAACACAAGACACGCTTCCTGTTCCATACCCAAACAAACTGTCGCATCCATCTACTACACGATGACACACGAAGAACGCGGTAATGGCAGCACAAAACAACACATTTGAGTGGCTTCCTTTCATCTTGAACTAACGCTTCGTCTTCTTAATGCTTCCCCAATCTCTGAAATAATAAACATGTTGTTTAATCCAGTCAACAATATACGTTATTTCGTGAACTAGTTCAAATGCATCATTGGGCAAAGTGCTTATATCGCATTTATGTTCTTTAACTTGAAATGTTAAAAGACGTACCTTCGGTTTTACAACACAACCTCGTTTGTTGATTTAGTCTGAAGATGCAGGCCTTCATATGTCGAAATGTCTCCTGCTGTGTAGCCCAGCCTTTTGATGACGTACTTCGCCCTGCCCCAACTAATAGTCTGCGAGCAGGCTAATGATTGGGCAACCTCATTTTAATTTAAAACATCTCCACATGATATTGCATTGAAGTTACTGAAGTGTGTTTCCTTTTTCAGTTTTTCCGTTTTTAGTTACTAAAAGTTTATAATTATAACGTCGAATGTTCATGAACTACCAGTGTTGATTAATAAGATCAATAATAGAGAACTACGATCCATTCTCATTGATCTGCTAACCAGTAATGTGTTTCAAAACATCGACCTCAAGCAACGCATTAACTGCATTAACCAAGCCTTTGTCAGATACTGCCTAAGGAATATCCCCATGATGCATGGTAGTGCTCTAAGATTCTCTCTGCATCCCACTTGTCGAGGTGAAATAGTAGAAAATGAATATGTAGTTTACAACCTAAATCCTGATTTAATTTTCAATATAAACAACTCAATCCTTGGTATAGTTGAGAAATATAAACATCATTGGCTTAATCTGATAATTCGTCTTATTTTCAGTTCTTGCCCAGAGAGGATATTTCAAGGATTCCTCGTTTGTAAATTATTTGAAATATCTCTTATATTGGAAGAAGCCTGAATATGCGAAATTCCTGAAGTAAGCTTTGGGTATTTTTAGTCGATTTAAAATCCATTTGATTTTTTGTTAAAATTCAGTCGTGATCTTCATTTCAGGTACCCACAGTGTCTGTTCTTCTTAGACTTGCTTCAGTATGAACACTTCAGACGAGAGCTGGTGAATGTTCCGTGTGCAAAGTTTATTGATGAACAACAGTTGCTACACTGGCAGTATTACTCCAGCCGTAGAAGAGCGGTAGGAATGCCACCCGCCACAGGACAACAACAGCAACAACAACCACCTCAACAAAACACTAATACCTTGTAAAGTAATCTGCTCCTAATAGAGTTGCCTGGCTAGGAATATTTCATGCCCTCTTTCTACAGTTTAAACCGGATGTTTTTGACTTGTTATCAATAACTCTATCCCAGAGTCATGTCATGAGTGTCATCATCTTTTTACGATGAACTTGGGCCAAGAAAAGATGGTTTGTCTAATAGTCTGTCAGTGTATCAACATGAGAAAATGATAGATGAATCTGACACGTAACTCTGAGAGAGAGAGTACAAGTACAGTTGTACTAGTCGTGTCTGCTGTCACTCGTTTCATTAGCAACGTTACATTTGCAAAAACATGAGCAAAAACTCGCTTCAAGAAACAATTTCGTGCCCTGCCGGTCAGGCACACTAAACTAGCAAAAATAGTCGCTTAGGTAAACAGTCTCTGGTTATATTGAACTGAGATGAAATGATAGAAGATATTGACGCAGAGATAGCAAGCCGAGATGAGACAATGACATAAGGCTACAATTACAAGTCGTCGCTCTTCGCCGGCATGACGTCTACAGGGCGATATTGCCATTGGTTGATTGCCATACGTGCGTCAACGATCGTAAATGCTCGTGTCTGTGTCGGCTGCAGAGGAAATCAAGTTCTCTTGATAACGCTACATAATTTTATTTGTGCTTACACTTGTAAAGAAATATCATTTTATGGCAATGCGGTTTTGTTTATTATTAAAACAGAAAGTTTGTGACTAATAGGAAAAGACAGACAAAGGAGAGCATGCGCATTGACCTGGGGGCGTCGGCCGCACCGCAAATGACTACTCCATTTCTAGTTTTACATTTGGTTGAAGCTTGAACCTCCGTTGAACTTCCAACATTAAAAGCATGTTCCTCGCATTCTAAATCCAGACAACCAATCAGTTTGATAATCTGAACGTCCTTGTCACCAACTTTGAGATACAAATTTTTGTCCAACACACTCTTGCTTAGTGCCACCAATATCGTGGCGAGATTTACCTGACACGATGAAGATGTGTTGGTGAATTTACAACGATCATCCAAGAGTAATCTTATTTTCGAGTTTTCACCGTCACTCACAGCATAGGCAAACCATGCCACGTTCTTATCCTTCCATTGTTCAAATGAAGCCAATTCTTGTACAATCTTAAAAGCGATTGATGATTGTTCCTTTAAACTAGAATCCCAGCCTGGAAACCATCTATTTTCCGCGAGTATCATATCAACTTGTATTGGTGAAACTGGTGGGTTTTCAAGCCAAGTTTTGATTCGTAATTCAGCGATTTGTAAATCCTTCGACACCCTTGGAACAATCTCAGCTTCGCGCTCTTTCTCCTCAAGTTTTGCTTTAACCGTTTGAACAAGAGCGTCATCTGTTGCAATATCTTTACATCCTTTAGTCAAATTGAGAAAATCATCAATGTCTGCTAACCCATTCCTGTTGGAATAATGATAAGACGAGTTTCGTCTGAGGTGCCAAAATAATTCAAATCGATCTTCTTTGCTGACGTCACAAAATTTCGAACCCAGTTCGTGATAACATTGTGTATAAATATCCATAGCGGTGGGTATTAAATGCCCACAACTCTTTACTTTTTTATTGGTGTCTAAGAGCAGTCCTAATTTGCGTGTGACACACTCTCTAGTTACTTGGAGAACGTTTGGTTTCTTGTGCCGGGTAATGCTACAAAATTCTGTAAGGAACTTGATTGTGTCTTTAGTTTGCCTATTGCAGATTGCAAAGGCTCGGTTGAAACACTGTTTATACCACGTGCAATTGTTTGGATCAGGTGTGTAGCAAGATGAAGGTACAGTAAACGGGGTGATTGGCCCTGGGGGAATTGGTGTGTAATCTAAACCTGGATATGTTAGTCGTCCAGGGTCAGTTGGATCACATAGACATTTTTGATAAATTGGTCCACCTTTCTTTCCATACAGATCTATCATGCATTGGTAGTAGCAAACTGGATAAATGTTAAATGGTCCGCAATTGTATTTGCCTCTTGATTTCTGTTTTATGTACCAATTACTCCGACATGCAGCTATTTGGTGGCCGCTGTATCCCTTGAGTTTAACACAATCCACGTCTCCTATACCGTAGCCAAGAATACTATTGCATTTGCCGACCGCAGGATCACACAGGAAGTATGAAGCGATGACAGCCCAAAACAACACACTTGGTTGGTTTATCTTCATGTTAAACTAACGCCTCTTATTATTGTTTTCCAGTCTCTGAAATAACAAACGTATAAAGGCCCGTTAAAACTGGCGATTTTTGCAGCGATTTTCTTCTTTTGACAGATGTGAATGAGTAATTTGTTAGGAATGTTTTGATGAATAAGAGCTCTTATTTGAACATCAGTAACTTATTCGCTCGTTCACATCTATCAAAAGAAAATCGCAGCAAAAATTGCAAGTGTTAACGGGCCTTAAGCAATATTGTTCACAATTTACGATATTTTATCCAACCACTTCGAATCGAAGGATCCATTTTGCGCAGTGTTTAAAAGCCATTATATGTTCCTAAACTCGCATTGTTAAAAGACGTACCTTTGGCTTTCCAATAAAAGTTTTGTTTAATGATTTAATCCAGAGGTTCAGCGTTCAAACGACAAAGTGTTTGTGTTGTGTGGAATTCTATGCCCTTGGACTGTGAAGTGCTTACATGCATGCTGAGTGCTGCCCTTCACGTTTGAATTGATTTTAACATCCTATCAGGATATCTAACGACGTATCAACACACCTGTATGACATCATACCAACAAGCCTGACGTCATTCTCTAAAGGAACTCTATGTTCTCTACTTCTGTGAAAGATATTTTACGCAACAGATTTTTACCTAACAACATCCTGTGAATAAGTAAGTTTCCTTTCGCAACACAAAATCAGTTGAACGAAGGCAAATAACAAATAATTTCAACATTTATTTTAATATTCTTCAATTCCCATTCTATCAACGATATATTTACCACTGCACGCTATCATTGTTATATCAAAAACAGTTTGATAAGCAATTGCACAGTATCTTCTAGCAATCACAACGAAACAAAACCCCATTGAACAGTATATATAATCCAGGAAATCCCTGGATAAAAACACCATTATTCCATTAAAGTCGATCCAATATAATACACACAGATCAGCAACATAGCCTCATTGAAGACATATAAAGCTGACACAATGGTGAAAGGCTTCGTTTCCCAGATAAAGTTTTAACATGATCTTCCAAGTTCTCCAAATGTTGTGAGTAATTTTTAACAACATTAGCATCGTCTTTACACTTCGGGCAAAACTTCACGCCATTTTTCATCATACATGTTGATTCCATAACGTTGTTTTCTCTGAGGTAAACTTCAACCAATTGTGATATATAGAATAAGTATTTCTCGCATTCCGCTAAAGAGATGTAATTTTTTCGTTTGTTTTTGGATAAAACCTGTCCGTACGCGTCCGGTAATGGTCGTAGGGTGTCGCCGTGGATTTGATCACAAGCTCTTTGGCTTTGCAGCGTGTTTAACTCGGACGTGATACACGACAATATTTCATCACTTCGAGCAAGTTGCAAGGCCGTCATTCCTCTTTTGGTTTTTGCTTGTAGAAGATTCAAACCTGGAAATATTTGGGAAAAGATTAAAGGAAATTTTTAACGCTGGTCCGAGAGAGAGAGATTGACCTAGCGTGCGAGGATTGTGCAATATATATAGTGTTCTACTAACCGCCAGCTTGAGTGAGAAGTTTCACTACAGGAAGATGGTTATTAAGCACAGCATCGTGGAGAACCGTCACACCATGGGCCGGACACGCCAGTAAGTTCACCTTGTTTGTCTTCTCTGTTTTAACAAGATAAAGATTAACTCTTATCAGCGGTTTTACCATCATGAGGTAATGATTGTCAACTTGCTGTTACAAGCGTGAAAATTTGAGACTAGTTCTTCCAAGGATTGGTACACTTACATTCCAAAGTTCGAAACACAATTTGACACACAGTTTGAAATGAAGTCGAACTTATCGCTAGAATTTTTGTCTTTCTATAAAGGTCTGTTCACACGATCCAATTCAGTTGGATTCAATTCACTTCTGATGGATGTTTTATAGTGTGTTGTCTTATGATGTTTATGGGCAGCAAATCCACTGAAGCCAATGCAGTGATGCTTTATCAATAACCGACTATATTCCATACATCAGGCGTGAATTGGATTCAACAGAATTGGATTCAAATCTCGAGTTTGCAACATGATGATAATGGAAGTTGCCAGCATCGTACCATGATATCGTAAAATTTTCTTAACACATCGAAGATGGCCGCGGTTACAGGCCTCGTGCAGAGCAGTCCACCCAGCGTTATCTGTCTCGTTAACGTCAACAGTTTCCAACTTTAAAATCTCTTCAACCTTTGCAGGGTCGTTTCGGATACAAGCAACATGAAGTGAACTTTCCCCTGGAAAGAGAAAACACAATGTCTCATCCAAAGGTAATAATTAATGTCATCATCCTTGTTCATTTAATACAGTATAAGCCTATGAACTGTAAAAGATGAGCAGTGTTCTGCTCTTGTTCCACAAACCTTTTCTATTCTTTCTTCTCGTAACAGTTCGCTTTTCTACCTCTGTTTTCCCAGAGTTTTTCACATTTGGGAGAAGAAAGAAATAGCAGTTGACCTGTAAGAAACGATAGACAATAAATTGATCCATTTCAAACGTGGTGGTCCAGTGTATACGGTGAACATTGCCTTCATAATTTACGTACAATTTTATTCAATTTCAAAATCTTGTTAAGATGCTGTTTGTAAGGCGCTGGGATCAGTCGTTTATCATAATTATCCAAAATGAATTCCAGTATTTTCATCTTCAGCCACGAGGAATGACTGCCCTGTAGGAAGAGCTTCGTGGCTTCGTAGCAATCGGTCTTGGATATCTGCATAAATAACTGCTGTGCAAGTGAATCGCAGGCCTGATGTCCTGTGACGTCATCGCGTCTTCGTAAGGTCACAGCCATGGACAACCAGTCGAGTAACACGTGACAGACAAACAGCTGGTAAGATAGGATATACAGTGTATAAAAAGTTTTCAAACTCGAAGTGAAATTCCAGCTGAAATTTAGCTGCACGTCTGTTGAAAATAAGAGGGCAAAATACATAGGTTGATCCTCTATAAGAGAAACAACATACAGTTGCTGGTTTTTTACCTTACTCTCATCACTAACTGCTAGTCTTGTAGCTTCGAAACACTGGGCAACAAATTGTTTCATTTCCAAGTTAGATTGACACGCTGAATCAGGCGATGCTGGCCACAATATGCTAACGATAATAGAGCTTTGCTTCCCACCACCGTGAGCGTCGCGTTTGAACAAATTATCCAAGACAGTTAGAACTAGATCAGCGTTGCTTTGCATCCTGGTTTGAAGAAAAATCGATATAAGAAACTTACGTTTGTTTAGTTTTACGAAAGAAGGTTTTTAATAGAACTAATTATAAGCAATACCTTTTTGTTTCTCCGGTTGTGTTGTTTTCGCCAAAAGAATTTCTGAAAAATATAAAATCAAACTTTAGGAAAAGCTGTGATGATTAATACTAAATGATAGCACAAAAGTCTCCAACTTCTGTCAACTTATATCTAATCTATTAGAAGGATCAACCCATTCATTTAGAGATACAAGTAATTCAACTAGATAAGTAACCTTATAACTTTGCTAATGAACTGCCATGGTGTAGGCTTATTGCTGTTTAAGTTTTGTGAATTTTCCACCGCAGGTTCAACCAGGGCTTCGAGGTAGAGTTTTTGACGCACAGTTGGGGGGTGAACCTCAATGATATTCTGCAACAAACGATAGCTCTGGAGTGCTTGGTGTTGAGTTGGTGCGTTCTACAACGGAGAAATAAGTTTGATGATGCGTTTCACCACCAGCTCTTGTCGTGTTGAGGAAACATCGAGGAAGGCAAGGACTAGACGCGGTAAAAAATACTTACAAGTAAGAATTGCTCGATGATAATATGCAACCATTTCGAGGTGGGAGCTTGATAGCTGGACAGACACGACGCCACAGACTCCATACCAAGATCAACACACTCTTCGTCGATACACGATTCCAAAATACTTGAAACGTACACAGGAAATGTCAAATTTCGCGCCTAGGAGAAATATTTGATAGTTTTAGAGGTAGCGTGATTTGTACCTGGAGATATTCTAGTTGCCCTGGGCGTAAGCGACAGCGATTTCCACTTGAGGGAGGTCCTTTTAAGGCAGCTCGTTCATCTTGATCGAACGTTTAAACATTTTATATTTTACCGTTGGGGGATTCTCTGTCGAAGTAATATGAACGAAAGGTGGTAGACCATTCTAGTAAAAAGAAAAAAAAGGGAATGCAAAAGGTAACCAAAGATGCAAATTTCATACAAAGCAGACAAAATAAACACTGTAGTTTTCTAAAAAGATCTGTTTCTATCCATTATCATTACTACCACTGCAGTCTTTTGTCTTTTAACCACGCAAAGATCACAGTCACTTGTGGAACGCTTTACTCCTTTTTTCAAAACACCCTCCTTGCTTGTCAACTCAACAGCTGACCCATTTTCTTTCCCTGTTTGAACTCCAGGCTTTTCCTTTGTTTTGGCTGGAATCTTAGGAGTGTGTGTGTTCACCAAATTATTGTATTTCATTAAAGTGTTGCTGCTTGCAAACGTCTCTTTCGGACCCTGGATGGTGTGTCAAACACAAGTCAATTAACTAATGTGATTGTGCTTCACCTGAGAGTTTTCAAGGCTAAATCATTCTTACATACCGCAATAATATACTCAGGAATATGATCTGGTTCACATATTGAAATTCCCTGACTTTGCAAATGGAGGACCTCATGTTTTAGTTTTGTTTCAACAAATATATGAGTGAGATCTTTAGGCAGACCACATGGATCTTGGAATGAAACATTTTTCTTATAAACTGTCGCATTTCCAGCTTCTAAAAGCCTAAAAGATATGAAACAAGATTGGACAACTTGATTTACAAATTAACTTCTTATAAACAACCATGTTTTGACTGGAATTCAACAAAATAAATGGTTACTAGTCATGCTGTACCTTTCATAGGCCTTTTTCATTTTAGCATCTTGCATGTAAACAACTGCATTCCAACTTTTATATGCTCCTGCCTTAGTGTTTTGCAATGCCATGCGCCACTTCCTAGGAGCATCGTGGAGGGATGAAAGCTGTTTGTCAGCTCTGACAGGAAGCACTGACGAGGTCCATTCATATTGTTCTTCATTGAGCCAACTGCCCTGCTTAAAGCTGTCTTCTACAAACTCCTTTTGTAACACCCATTTGCCTGTTGGGTTAGATGTTTGATAAATAGATTGAAAACATATGAACAAATCAGTTTTGGCACTTGGAAGGTCATGCCTATGGTGGACAGGGGGAAGGTTATGTATGCAGAACAAGGTCTCATTACAGTCGATCTAATCTCATGTTAGAAAGTAGCCTAATTCAGACTCTACCAAATGCTGCCTATTATGTTATTTCAGCAGGAAGAAGTAAGGAGAGCTCTTGTTGCACTTCGGTCATCGGTCAGACATCGGTGAAGAGTACCATATATAAATTCAAACTATATAGTATCAATGAATGAAGATAGATTTAATACATGTATATTCCATACCTAACGCACAACCACCAAGATATTTTTCTCCGCGATTTGCTTTTCCACATATCACATGTGTTGTTTGTCGGGAAAATATCTGAAAATTCACAACACGTGAAATATAATAACATCATGACACAGCATCAGAGGCCGCCGCGCTCCTGTGTAAATATTTCGCCTTAAATCTTCACAAACTCGCTGTTCAAACGCAAGCGCACTCACCCGTGTGTCAAGCAAGGTTCCTCCCAATTGTTTTATATAACCAGCAAGACGTTCCCTCTCTTCTGGTGGCAGAGAACTTAGTTGAAATCTCTTGCGTTTCGTCCCCGCCATTTTGCCAAATCTTCAAAGAGAAATTGCCGCGCGTTTGTTTATGCGCCAAATTGAAAATTTCCCGCCAACTGCTAGCCGCCATTTTTTTCGCTTCGTATCTTCCTTTTCAAAAATTTAACTAAGTTTCAATAGTGTTTATGTATTATTTTCACGTAGAGAAGCAGTATTTCCTTCATAATAGATAGGCTTCTACATTTTACAGTCTCTCAAAGAACCTAAATTGCTCAAATAGGCTAAACATGGCCAGGTTTTTACATGCGTTTGGGAAATTCATTGCATGAGTTTTATACAATTACTTCCAGTAATTATTAAAGTATACTAGGCATTATTTCAAGTATCATTAATTATTTTAGTGTAAAAATGACATGTTTTGAGGGATAACATTGGGTGTTTTATAGAAAAATTGCAATGAAAATAGGTAAAGGAAAGCAGAGGTGAAAATGGCGAACAGCATTCGCGACGTAAAAAGCGGCATCCATGAAGGTGGGATTTAAATACAAGAAATGGCAGATGTAAATAAACTAGAAGTTAGAGCTAAAGTTGTTTTAAAACATTCTGAACAAGAAAACCTCTATCTTTTTGTTAGGAAAGACAAGAATCAGGCATGGAGCTTCCCGTCAAATGCCGTTGCACCTGGTGAAAGCATTGAAGAAAATGCTAAAAATGTCTTAAGCTCGGTGAGTTTGTTATATTTTCACTTTTGTTTTGATATTTTGTAAAGTTTGTGTTTGCTAGACGAAAGTTTGCTTATTAAATACGGTGGCTGAATAAGCTGATAGGTCCAGTAGGTAGAGTAAGTAATCTGAGAAGATATAAACTTTCTTTCACGAACATTCTGATAAAACGCGTCCTTGGATAATTTCCTGCAGAGTTGTACTTATATATAGGACTAAATATTGACCCACTTTGATGTACAGGTTTTGGGAATCTCCGATCTGATATTAAGAAGTTTGCTTCATATCCGTCATTGTGTCCGAGATGCTGTCATTGAGTTTGTGTATCTTGCAACAACAGAAGACAACTCTCTGGTGAAAACAAAACTACCAAGTCCAGAAAACCAGGAAGTGAATTGTCTGAGTGATGAAATATGCTCCTGGTTTGCATATTCGGATAATCAAGGAAAGTATTCTGCAGAAACAAAAGAGGTTCTCCAAAAGCTTGAACAAGATAATGGTTAGTTTAATGTTTCACTTCCAAACCACCAGCAACAACTATCGATCAGACTATTCCCACCATCACTAATCATGATAATAACCATTCCAATCATTATTGTGTTTAGATGACCAAGGTGCTTCTGTTTCCTTCCTAAATGAAGTCAACAACAGGTAAAAATTTTTGTTAACTCATGTAAAAACAATATAAAAAAATATTCACTTTCATAAAATTTTAGTTCCAGTCATGATGAAGTTGATCAGGGATGCGAAAAAGAATCTCACAACAGTGGAATGCACAGTCACAATATTAGCGGGTACTACAACATTTTGTTTAATGCTGCAAAATTTGGAAATTCAGGTTAGTAGATATTAGTGAAAGTCGTTTATAACACACAGTTATGCCCCATTATTTTCTCTAAATCCTGAAAGTTTCATCTCTAATTGATGGCTGTTCTAAGCATTCTTCTATGTTGCAGAAAAGCAGTTTGTGGAGAGCTTGTTTAAAAAATTCGCTGGTGCCAAGGGAAGCCAACTTGATGTAACATCATTCAAAAATGCAATTGATGGTTTAGAAACAGGGTTATCTGAGACATACATTATTGACCATCTCTTTAGGTAAGTCTCATGGTATTACAAAAACAAACTATTGAATTCCTATTTGAATCCTGACAAATCCTGCAGATGTAAAAACTACAACAATATTTAATCTAGAGCATTTGATAAAGACGGAAAAGGTTATGTGGATCTCGCTGATCTTTTGCACGGTTTGGCTGCCATGGATCCCAGAACAACTCACGGTGGAATACCAGCTGAACTGCGTTGTAGATATATCTTCAAATACTACAATATATCCCAAACTGGGTCTCTTAACCTGAAAGAATTGAGGTATGTTTGTAGTAAAGTCTAAATGGTTCTTGTTTTGAACACATGATTTCCCTGGGCGTGGTCATAATGACATAATCTATGCTTGTGTATTGTATAATTTATGGTTATGTATTAAAAACTGTCCTGATCATTCTTTTAATTTAGAGAAATTGTAAAAGACATTCAAAAGAGTAAAGGTGAAGTAGCCACAAACGAAGATCTGGATGCAAAAGTTAAACGTGAAATAAAGTTAGTAAATTGCACGAATTCACTGGTGACCTGTTGACAAGATTCTCATTTTAAAGAATTGTTTTAATTTTTTACCTCAGGATTTTTGGAGAAGACCTTTCAACTGAACTGCCTTTGAAGGAATTTCTGGATGGAGTTGGGCATCTGAAGTTCCGTGGGACGTCGTTGTTATTCCGTCTTCCCGCGCCGTTTTCCGACATCGTCGCCAAGAAGACGAAGCACAGCTCCCACCACACAAAGCGAAGGTATGGGTTGTATGTAGGCTGGTTGACGGATTTCCAACGCTGCATGTCTCGCCGACTTCATATCGAAATTTCAGTCCTTTTTTTCTTCAGAAAGTTGTTGAAAAGAAAAGCTCAAGAGCTTGACGACGATGAAAATTCCGAAGACACAATGGATCTGGATGATTCACACGTTGTAAACAACAAACAAACGAGGTTAGTTCAACAGCACCTTCCAGACTGTTCTAGTTAATGTTCCAGCTACTGTTACAGCAAAATGAGTATAATCAGACATGAGCAGTCTTGCAGATGAAAGACACGCACATTAATATGTGTTGTTGATCAATATCTTTAAAACTCGCGGCTTAAGATGTAATATGTATATTTAAATATAACCAGGGAGCAGCGTGGCAGCGTCTTCAAACAACTTAGCATCAAATGTGGTATAACAACTGCCTAAAATAGTGTTTTGTCTATTTTAGGCTGTTATACCACATTCGATGCTATGTATGTTTATCACAATCTTCGCTATAAATTTCACGTCTGAGTTCCTTTTTGTTTGCAAATTTTTCCACAGCTCTAATTCAACCTCCTACGAGCTAGCGACACACGTTGTGAAGGTCCGTCGCAGTGGCACCCTCACCAACGTCAGTCAACTGTGGGACATGACTGGTACAGGGGCTTTAGCAAAATCAGTTCAGGAATTGATAACAACTGATCGCTCTAGATTCACTCGAATGTCCTCTGTGAATTCCTTCAACGAGGTGAGTTTTTGAGAAGGACAACCGTGTTTCGTTTCTTCTTCCTTGAATTAATTTCTCAATTATCTTTCTCAGAAATCGATGCCTAATGAGATGTTGTTTGGCCTTCGTTATTTTGAGCGTCCCATCAACAATTCTCCGGGTGGAAATTCTTCCAAAGAAGCTTTCAGTTGGGGTGAAGTGGACATGAATTCCTTCGCGAAATGCATTTTATCCACGTGTCATTCCCTGAGAGAGATTGTGGCCAATGAATCTCGACTCCTTAGGATTGACTCACCAACATATATTCTTGGTGAGCACGGTAGTTTTGTATCTGACAGCATGATTCTTTTCACCATCATGATTGATTATGACCATCACCATCACCACGACTTCCACGAATTCCATCCAATCTTATTTTGAACCCTGCTTAGGTGATCTTCATGGTAACTTCCATGACTTGGTGTGTTTTGAAAAAGTTCTTTGGAGAATGGGTCCGATTCTGACGCCATCAAGTTTTTTGTTCCTTGGAGATTATGTTGACCGCGGGGAACATGGCATCGAGGTCTGGAAGAAAAATTAAACTGACTTCATTTATAGTGAATACTGAATATAGTTATATCAGTTCAAAATTGGAAGTCAAATTAGATTTGGTTTAACTGAAGTGGAAAGTGTGTCAAAGAGTTAAGTCGATGATTTTCAAATTTTTAGGTCGTCGCTTATCTTTTCGCGCAGAAACTGCTGGCCCCCACGAAAGTCTTCTTGATTCGTGGTAACCACGAGATACGAGAAACTCAGAAGCTGTTTACCTTTTACAAGTAAGAAAAGAGCTAAAATCATCAACTAAACTGTATTATAACTGAAAGTTCTGTCCTGTGAAACAAAAGACGCACAAGCCCAACCTCACAAGCCAAACACAAGTCTACAACAACGCGTACTTTTTTCAGGGAATGCAAGAAGAAATTCGGCAAAGAACTTGGTGTGCAAGTATGGGAAGCGATAAACCTTGTTTTTGACTCGCTTCCTCTGGCTGCGTGTGTTGATAACAAAGTAAGAATATCTTCAGCAAGTTCTCCTTTGTCTGAAGGCTGAAGCCTTCATTGATGTTAATATTTGTTCAGATATTTTGTGTTCACGGGGGAATTCCTTTGCCAACTCATGGCGGGGGAATGATCGATGAAATCAATAAACTACCTGTGGGTTTGAGACAGCCGATGGACGAAGAGATGGCCTGGGAACTACTCTGGAATGACCCACTCAGGTTGGTGTCGTAGTGATGACGCGATGGTTAGTTAGTACGTGCGTTTTTCCCTTTTAATACGATTCGCCCCTGTAATATGCAGTTCTTCGATTATAATTTCATCTTTTGATAACTCTCTCCTCTGCAGAGGCTTCGAATGCAAATGCGCTAGCCTCTGCGGAGGAGAGAGTCTAGATAATATGTCTTGCTCTAAAACTTTCTTTCAATTCTCGTTGTGTCTGATGCGAGAGCAAGAGATTTAGAGCTAGTCTTCTTTTAATAATAATGCTTCCTACCTCATTTTACAGATCCGAAGAGTTGACTGATGAAATCAAATCTGAGCTTCTCGAAAACCATGGCTTTGTGAAGAACTCAAAACGAGGCACCGCATATCAGTTTAGGTAATATATCACTTGATGTGACCAAACACGACGTGACAAGCATGTGAAAGGCATGTGAAAGGCATGTGATTAACACTCACAAGTTTCACCAACCAAGTTTTTTCACATTTTACACGTCTAGAATTAGAGTATTATCATTATTCTGGAAGTGTACAAACGCCAAGTCATGGTTGGTTTTTGTGTGTTTGTGTTAACATAAACACATTATGTTTCCTTTTAAGTGTCGACGCTCTGGATTCTTTCCTGGAAAGAAACAGTTTAACTCACGTGATTCGGGCACATGAAGTCCAGGAAGCTGGGTTTCAGGTATTGTGATGATGGATAGTGGTGATAGTTGATGATAATGAAGGATGATGATGGTAATGGTGGTGATGATGGATGATGATGGATGATGGTTATAGTGGTGATGCCATGGATCATGATTGATTTTGATGGATCATGATGGTCATTCTGGTGATGATGATGGATGATGGTGGTGATGATGGATCATGATTGATTAAGATGGATCATAATGGTCATTGTGGTGATGATTATCATTTCAGGTCCAACAAAATGGCAAACTTTTGACAGTATTTTCCTCCTCTCATTACTGTGGTGGAGCGAACGAAGCTGCGTGTATTTTGGCTCATCAGAACAAGCTCCGTACCATTCGCCTGGATACATCGTGAATCAGAGACGAAGATCCATGCCTTCCCATTGTGGAACCAGGTACCAATGAGATCAAGGTCAATGTTATCACATCAATCAGATGAGATAACTAAAGACCACTACTAGTATATCGCCAAACTTGGCTAATACAAGTCGACATTACATCAGATCATAGCTTCCGTGCGGGATATCGTTCCTGTCCTGCTTCAAGAACAATTTCACCGTCTCTTTCTCGTTCTGAGAGCGTGGACTAGGAAAATGTTTAACCAGCGCAAGAATAGCACAAAGAGATCGGCGAATCGCAGTAATATAGGAGTAGATTTGTCGACTGTCAAACTTTGCATCGGCTAGTCAAAAAAAGCGTGAAAATCCACGCTATGTCTTGTATACAATCATTTATTTACGCCGCGCATTCGCGTTAAAAGATACGCAAAAAAGAGTGCATAATAGTAGATCACTGAATGTTTGAACCGACATGAACTGTTAGACAAGAGTTACAATTAGTTTAAAAAACTCGAGTGAGACAAAGCTAAGATAGCGAGACATATCATGATATTAATCTAAATATCAGCTGTGAATTCATGCAATTAACTGTGATTGGACGCACAAAGAATGCGAGACTTTTATGTAAATGAAGCCTTAGGGTGACATTGAACAGAACAACCTTTATTAAAAGATATGTAAAAAGATAAGTATCAAAAGAAAACTGTTTCTTACTTACGTCATATGGGCTTCCTTTTGATTTTTGAGTGCTTAATTTGCTGATGAAATTTTTATTCCTTTTTCGTATTATTGTTCCTTATTGGAAACTTCACATTCGGTGAGATGAAGTCAAGAAGGTCAAGATGGAAAAAAGCAAAGACTTTGTTAGATATCGCATCTTTACGAGTTGAATTGCATGACTTACGTCAACACCGCGTTTTGACGTAATTCTCTTGTGGAAAACATCGCAAAACAAAGCCCCAGCCAAAGCGGAAAGTATATAGAACAAAACAAACGCAAGAAGATGTCAATAGCAAGCAAAATATCGACAAATACTACCAGAATTAGGAGAATGAATTATTTGAAAACTTGTGAGAACTAATTATGGGGATGCTAATTGATATGAAAGGATTATTAGGGATTCGTTTCACTGTGTAGACATTCGTATGAGAGAGAAATCATTCAACGCTTTATCGAAAGTTGTGGGGTTTTTCCCTTTCACAGCACGAAATGTTTACAGAGAAATCGAAAATCACGCATCGTTGCTCAGTTTCGATAAACGTTATCGGTTCTGTTGCTTCGTAACTTACAGTTGAGCTTTTAGCTGAAGTTGGGGGTATACACACCCCCCTGTAGATAGAATACAAGAGCTTCGGTCCTGTCGCCTATGAATATTCCTTCATGGCAATGATTGCTATAAGTGTCGATAGAAAAACGCCGTTGGCTGTGGTCAAACAGAATCAGTCATGCTGAGCGTAATCATATCACTGTTGTTTCAATTGCAAAGCTCATAACAAAGAGACGTATATATTGTGGCGATAAAACGCCAAAAATGGACATTTTTGTAGCACTCAGACAATTTTTAAAATCCCACGTTGCTGTTGACAGATGCTCAATGTATCCAGCGCGCATGTGCCAAGTTTTGAAGTATTTCATCTGGTCTCGTACGGTCCCGTAAAATTTGCTGTAATTTTAGCTGTGGGGGTAGGCTCGTTACGGTTCGTGCGATGTTCACGAGGCAACTAAACTAAGTTGATAACCATGCATTCGGGTATAAATTCGCATACAAAGTAGCGGTTCCTACTTTCTAAGTCGTTTCCGCTTGCCTTTTCTGCGCAAATGATGGCGCCAAGAAATGTATCTTTTTTGTGTTTTGGTCACAATGGAGTGAATGGTAATTTTCACGCGATATTTCCGTCAGTGATGAAACAAACCACTTGAATTCCGGCTTCAATCATTTTGGCATACACTTCAAACGCGGCGGCATAGTTCAGCTTTTGCGGGAGTCTGGTTTTTAAAATGAGAGAAAAGCAATATATGTATACGAGAATCACTATATACCTACCACCTCATCTTTAGGGGTCACCTCGAGCATTGTTCTTAAAAGCACACCATGTTTAGTGATTATTAATGTTCCGCTATTGAAATTTCATCATTTTCATGACAATGGTTCTATATTTAGGCAAGTTTACCATGGGGATTTTTATTGCATCACTGCTTGCCTGTGTTACATTCGTTAGCAACAGAAAAATACTGGTTATAATGTCGTAGGTTAGTTTTTTGACATTGGAAGGAAAGTTACATTTATCATAAAGAATTAATGTTCGTATTTCCGCTTTTACAATTTTGTAGCCTTTCCGAGTATTTCCTTAAAAGTCAATATATTCTTGTGTTTCCTAATTCCTTTTACGCCTTGTGGTACTAAAATGTCTTTGTTATTAGACAAACGTGGTCTCTAATTTCCGTGCATGTTAGTTTGGGGAATCGATGAGATCTAAATATGTATGCGCGAACAATGCTACTTTAGAATATCTTGCGTTGAAAACTAATTTCTGTTGCGATCGTTCAAATTGCGATTGCATGTGGAAGTCGAAAGCCCACATATTATGACATTACAATTATATTTCATCTCTGAAGCAGCTGTTGGCGAAAAATGAATATAAACATCGGAAGATAACATCCATTTAGAGCGCACTACTTAGGTTGGACGTTTAACTTAGAATATATCCCGTTACAAACACATGAATATAATACATTCTTGGATTGGCATGAATTAGAGCTAATAACTTCGCGATTTGTTATCGCTGAAACCAAAACTAACAGTGAAGTTCAAGGCCATAATTCAATGTTGGCGAATTGCCCCCAATATTAGCTCTATTTTTGCCATATTATTTTGTTATGCCAAAAATCCTTTCCGTAGTCAAGGACCCCCATTGGTTCCCTCTAAATCGGAACACATTCTGATTGGCTGAGAAAAGAATGATCACGTGTCATAACATGAAACAATAAAGACGTCAACCAAAACAAACTCCATCAAATACGAAACGAGAAGTTCATGGAGTGAATAACTTCTTATTTTGCGATTGTTTCTTTTCAAAACTATAAATTACGTCAAGTAGTTATAGTTGGGAGAAATATCTACTGTCATACAAAGTCCTAAAGCGTTTGCAGCTTCTCCCAGCATAACATTTCAAAGATACTCTGAAACAGTTTGCCGAAGGGAAATTATCGCGCTGAACAAGATGGGGAAAACGTTTCAGGCCTATTTACCTGCGTGCTATCGAACATACAGTTGTATACACTGCAGGGCTCATTTGGCAAACCACGACGAACTGATTTCAAAGGTTTGAACCATTTTATAACTATTTCGTTTTCTTTTACAATTACCGGTTATAATCTCTAGCAAATTTATCAAGATGAATTCTCTGGCCCCCATGTAAACACAACACAAGCAAGTGCTATTGTCTTTCTTTTAAAATATAGTCCTTCCAAGGCAGTCAAGGGAGAGCGTATTTGTTTAACAAAGTGTAAGTATAAGCTTCATCGGGTGTTTTATGTTTAAAAAGTAGTTTGAAATGGAAAAATTTTAATTCTCAATTTTAGTGTGAATATTGGTTGTGGTCCAGCAGAAGAGCGCGTATTGCTCACAGGCCTTCATGCAGTGGCTGATATCTTCTGTGAAAACTGTAAAACGACACTGGGTTGGAAATATGTGAGTTTTTTATTTTAAACTACGTGTAATTTTGCGTGATTCTAGCCAAAACATTAGCTTGAACGTGCGTGTCGTACGCCATGATTTTGACAAGGAATATGTAATTTTATGGTAAAACCATCTGCCGAATTAATCAACAAATGCAAATTACTTGAGTAATTCTTTTGATGTTTACTTTTTTCCATTCAATTTTTCATCGCTCTTGACAGGAACACGCGTTCGAAAACAGCCAAAAGTACAAAGAAGGTAAATTTATCATCGAAATGGCGCATATGATCAAGGATAATGGCTGGCTTTGATCCAAAAGACGGGAAAATAAATTACGGATACTCTCTCTACGATGTGTTCCTGCATGTCACTGTATTTCGAATTTCCGGATCCTGAAGTCGAGTGTGATACGAAACATTTTTGTGTCCGTTACCTCTAAACATGGAAACCTTCTGGGATCTCATTGTTTACTCATACGAAAGAACCGTGTCTCTCTCGTTCTTAATATCTCCTTGTATTTATCAACCGGCCTGTCAAATTGTACATATTGTTATGATAAAGCGTGTAGATCCGGACTTGTATATTTTGTGTAACATAGTTTCCTGTAGATTATCATTGTATATATAATGAATATGGCAATATCACTTTGTAAATATTGTAAATTGCGTAGAGCGAATATCGTCAATGGATAGCCCACTCCTCCTCTCTCTTCCCCCCCCCCTGAACGCTCTAATTAAAAAGCGTTCCCTCTAAAGTTGCATGGTATAAATAGATATTATATATCTGTAAATGACGAATTCTGTATTTAATCCCAGAAAAAATGGTTATTTTATAAATAAAACACTAAAGATTATTCCATTTGGATTTCAATGAGATTTCAATTTCGATTGATTGACAAAAAGACGGAAATATTACTTTCACACCTTGCTAGCAAACTGTCCCTTCTCGGCTTTTTATAAAGGACGTCTTTCACACCGCAAATTTTCACATGAAGACAGAAATTTCGGCAGCTGTTTGTTGAATATTGAGTCCCCTTTGCCGTGAAGATGGGGGTGTCCTTCCATTGACAGGTATTGTGAATTAATATTCGACTGCTGAAGTGACTGTAAATACTACTCGTAAAGTAAAAATGGAAAGAAAAATAAAAGTTGAAAACAATCTGTTTTACGGTCTGATAACTTTTAATTATAAGAGTTTTGGGTCACGTATGGCAAAGTTTTAAAAGATAAGGCAATGCGCTGTACATTGAATTATGGAATAATCATGCATGTGCCTCCATCCAATAATTCAAATACAAGACTGTCGTAAAAACTCGTTGAATTTCATATCAACGACATTCTTTTAAGAATTAACTCGTTAGAACTGGGAAAACTGTGGCCGTTTTACTTTTATTTATAAACAAAAATTACCACGATATTCTAGAATATTCGGGGTATCTAAAATACAATCCCATCATCAAAACTACAGCTGTCTTCCCCCAAAAAATTTCACAATAGTACCTAGTCCCCTGTGTTCCAACTCGCTCGTCTTTTCCACAAGGGTATTTCCCTTCGTAGGGTCATGCTTCGTATGACAGTACGATTCCCCTATGGGGCTATCCTTCCGATACGATATTCTCCCCGGTGGTGCTCCCCGTAGAAGGGCATTTTCCCCCGGTCGGGTAATCTACTCTATATGGTCGTTGATACCACTGGTTTATTCCTGTTTTATTTCAAATCTATTGTAAGCCATTGTAAGCTTTCAGACATCATGCAATCTCCTAATATCTTTCATCATTAGGGGGTCGTGATAGTTTAGTACTTTGAACTCTTTGTTTTGAACATACGTGACATACTTTGAACTCTTTAACTCTGTCCAAACATGTTTGGAATGAGCTGCTTTCTGTCAAAAATCAGCATCAAAAGTTGATTTCCATGCAGCCATAAATGAGAAGTTTTCATAGACAAAGAAGTTACGTCTGGTCTGCATCAACTGCATGTTTCTGATTTCAATAAAAACCGCGGTTCATTACAATACCAAACAACGTCACCCGCGTGTCGTTAATAGGTCACGAGATATTTGGATCTGTCGTTACAAGTTGTATTTTGCATGATAGCTGTATGCTCGACGCAATAAATCTGTGCTCGGATGATTCTGAAGCTGCAAGTTATACTTCATTGTCTCAGAGAGGTTTGGATATTCAGGATCGTATCTATCTAACGACAAACGCTTATATACTATTAGGTGAGTCTTATACTCTTATTCAACGTATATAAATCATCTTATTTATTAGTTTTGTGCTAGTCTACATCTTCGCTTGCCTGTGCTAACTAGTGGTCGACTATTCATCAATTACATGTGCAAAAATTCACATTATTTTGTCTCTATGTCTGTGATATCATATCACGTTCAACCAAATAAACTGCAACTGGGGTGCTTGATAAAATCATAAAATATCATACACCGAAGTGCCTGATAATCTTTAAATTTTTAATTCAAATACCAGCATTCATTCGCTGCAAAACACCTTTAGAGAATGGTCCTATAATTTTCTCTCTAATAGATTAGTAAAGAACGCCAGCTCATATTTAACTTACAGACTGTATTCAATTACTTACGAGCGTTGTATCAATTATCATTTGTTATTGATCTGCTTATTTTAAATGCTAACGTTTATCAGTTTAAGACGATAATCTTTCCTGCATATGTGTGGATACGGCCTCTTCATTTCTGTCGAAGAAAATTTAATGTATTTTATTTTGTAATTGGCAATATCCGAAATACGACGTTTCCAGTGACCCCTTTTACGTGCAAGGCTAGTTCAAAGCTACTACTATATTCGTCTGCAGTTTCTCTACTTCTTTCTCGTTTCAAAATCCTAATCTATATAGTCCATACGACTTGGAAAAAGTTTTCCTGATGGTAAATCATGATAACTCTTCGTGATAATTCGTAAATTAATGATAATTCAACTTTGCATGCAAGTGCAACTGTGCAAGCCTTTTCCCATATTCTGGTGTCACTTCTTCCGATATTCCTCCACTCATATATTTACACACCTGCGGAGATAGTTCACGAATTCAAAATAGAACTCCGCTCAAAGTTTATTCCCTTTTAATCGTGGAATACAGACAGAATGCCAGGTAAGGTAATAAACTCTCATGCAACACTTGGTCATGCCTCATGTCTGATACATCAACAAACACAGCAAGACCACATTACGAACTTCACTTCTTAATTACATTTTTCAAAACAAAACCGTGCAATGAATTTGACCGCAAGATTGCTTGACAATTGGTACATGATACTCGCGGAACTGAGCATTTCAAAAAATACGTTTGTAACTTCAAAAGATAATCTTTTAATTCGTGTTGCAAGTTAGCAGCTGTTCGACCTAGTAACATAGGTTTTGTTGCAATATTGACACTTGTATCTTGTATCTCGAGCAGTTTGTTAGAACGTATTCTATTTGAATATTCAAGTACTCGTTCGGTATTCAAACATTTAATGAGTGTTTTTCAACGCAGAAAATTTCTCGAAAAATAGTTTCGTTCTTCATCAAATCAAAATTATTATCTTGTGAAGAAGTGTGTTTGACGAGAACGCTTCATTGACCTACAAGGGTCGATCAAACCTAACACAGAGGATGTACGATTAGATTAACAGACAGCGGCGGCATCTTGGAACAAAAGATGAAACTCTTTATGGCTTTGACAGGTTGTACGCATCTCAAGATTAAACACACAAAATTGTTGATGGAAAAACTACTTTGCGATCAATCTGACAGCTTGTTGCTCGGCAAACTCTAGCGTGAACAGTAGGAATTATGCGAGGTTCGCCATTAAAATTTAATCACGCATTAAAACGTTGCTTTCATGTTTTGTAATGCAAATGAGCTACTGACTGATTCTGGAGTGCTAGGAGATACAGCTTATTGATTACACGAGTGTTTTTACTGCAATATTTCTTGTGAATTGTCGACGTTTTCACTACAGAACCGTGAAAATGTGGGTATAACTTTATATGAATGATAGATCTAAGTTCAAAGTCTCACGGTCCAAGGCGAGATGAAATTACCGGGTGGGGTAATGCGATGGAAAAATCATGAACTTTTTTGATAAGGTTGAGGGGTGATATTGTCAGATTTGCATGAATCTATTAACGCCACGATGTATTGTTGGATCAGTCTTGTATTAAATATGTAGTTCTTTGATGAAGAACAGTTTTAACCTAATAGAGCTATCCAATGTTTCACCCTGTAGCAACACTGAATCGATAAGAAATTCTCTTTATTAGATCTGGGGAGGACAAGATTAAACTAATAGAACTGTCAAATGTGTTGGAAAAAATCAGGCTTGTCGATGAATTCTCATAATTGCTCGTTAACAATGTTTTCTTTCTTTCATTAGCCGTTTTAGTGCAAAGAAATCACAGCTGATCAAGAATGGCGACATCAGGACAATATAAGGTTAAGGCATCGAGCAAAGAGTTACCTGATGAAGAAGACGGACAGAACCGGGTTGTTCCAGAGGGAACACATAAGCCAAAAAAGAAAGGATTCTTTGGAAAGTCCGGAAAGTCTGACAGCAAAACTAAAGAGAAAGATGTTAAGAAGGATACTAAAGGCAAAGAAGAACTAGCTCAGGGTGCCGAGAAATCCAAGGATAAGAAATCTGAAAAGTCAGAAGGTAAACTAATTCTCTTTAAAACTTTACACTTGACGTTCAAAGTGTTTTTACCTGCATCGAGTGAAGTGCCAAAAATCCTAATTGATTTACACTTGACGGTTTCATCTCAAGGAAAAAAAGAAGACAAGAAAGAGCACAAGAAAGACAAAAGTTCAAAACACGAGGAAAAGAAAAGGGACGAGTCTGGAAAACATAAAAAGGAACACAAGAAAGATACGTGAGTATTTCCACGAAAGAAAGATTTCGAAAAAGATTTTGCTTCGTGTTTAACCGCCATTTGCTGTGCGGAACGATTCATGGTGTCTTTTTAACTGTCATTCAGTGGCGTAGATTACATTTGGTTTTCTGTTTCCATAGCAAGAAGGAAGAAAAAAAAGAGAAGGCATCAAAGTCGAAACATGACAGCGATGACAAGAAACAGTCGTCGAAGGAAGCTGGAACTGAAAGCAAAAAGAAAAAAAAGGAAGAAGGTAAGAGGGAAGACAAAAAATCGAAATCTAAAAGTGAGAGCAACAAGGAAGTGGCTTTGGCTGAGGGCTTAAAAAGTAAGCCTGTAATAGCAAGGCTATAGGGAGAACAGTTCAGATCTGATAGAGCTATCCAGTATAAATAAAGTTAGTTTAGTTTAGGTTTCCTTCTGTAGTAACACTGGATCAATAAGAGATGATCCTTACTGGACCTCTAGGAAGAACAGTTTAGAACTGATAGAGCTATCCAGAATAAATAAAGTTAGTTTAGTTTAGGTTTCCTCCTGTAGTAACACGTACTGGATCAATAAGAGATGATCCTTACTGGATCTATAGGAAGAACAGTTTAGAACTGATAGAGCTATCCAGTATAAATAAAGTTAGTTTAGTTTAGGTTTCCTCCTGTAGTAACACTGGATCAATAAGAGATGATCCTTACTGGACCTCTAGGAAGAACAGTTTAGAACTGATAGAGCTATCCAGTATAAATAAAGTTAGTTTAGTTTAGGTATTCATGATTATTTTGGGAAAATTACTAGCAAACGTTGACGAGGGGGAGAGCCACGAGAAAAAACACAAGAAGAAATTCCACCTGTTCAAGAAAGGAAAGAAACATGGTAAAGGTGGCAATGAACCAGCACACCTTGCTCCAAACGCGGGTGACGACCACGCGGATGACGACCACGCGGATGACGACCACGCGAGCGGTCCCCACTCTCCTGAAAAAGTTAACGTGGATTTGAACGTCTCTGAAACAGTACAAGACGATGAAAGCATCCCAGAAACCACTCCTGCTGATGATGAGGCTAAACAGCAAAGCCTTGCTGCCATCGCCGAAGAAAATGAAAAAAAAGTCGAGAGTAAAAAAACAGCGGAAGACAACTCCGAGGTTCAAACTTCCGTGATAGTCGAAACATCCGAGGTAAAAAAACCGGAGATGGAAGTCCATGAAGTTGAAAAAACCGATGCTCAAAGCAGCGAAACAGACGATCATGAGGAAGAAAAAGTCGAGGTACAAGAACTCGAGGTACCAAAACCGGAGGTACAAAATATGGAAGTTGAAGATGAGATGGTAGAAAACCCCGATGATGTGGTTTTAGACACAGATAAGCCGGAGGATTCTCCAGAGGTGACGCTGCCAATTGCTGTCACAAATATGGAAGTAGATGAGCCAGTCTTGGAGGATGTTATTGCTCCTCAGGAAGAAACAACCGTAGAAATCTCACCTGAAATGGAGACAGATGACAATAAGGTAAGTCATTTCCTGACTTAGTTTTGTCAAGATTAGGCTGAGACGTTTAGATTTAATGAAACAATATCGTGATTACCTCCAAACCTCTGGAAAAGTAAACAAGGTTAAAATGATATTTTTTGTAGAGTGTTGATACAAGTGAAGAAAAGATCGAGGATGATGCCCACGACATAACAATCCGCCAGGAGGATCTCTTATTGCTTCAGGGAGACGAAACTGAGACGAAACAACTCGACACAGACGAAAAGCAAGCGCAAGATGAAGGAGTTGTTGAGAATGAATGCGAGCTGGATGAACCTGAAACATTTCACGACAAACCGGGAAGTGACGAAGTGAAATCAAACGATGAAAACACGGAGGAAGAGCATCCAAAACCACAAGAGGAAGATGATATGTCGAAACCAAAGGAAGAAAGTCCCAAAGAGAAAGAGGAAAGTCCTGAACATGAGGAAATTGCCCCTGAAAGAGAAAGTGACAGTTCAGATAACGAGAAAGTCGGTTCAGAACAGGAAGAGGTCAGTCCGAAAAACGACCAAGACACTCCTGAACTTGGAGAGATCAGTCCGAAAAACGACCAAGACAGTCCTGAACTTGGAGAGGTCAGTCTTAAACAAGGGACGGACAGTTCTAATCTGGAAGGAGACGATTCCTCAAAGCAAGATGTAATGTCGACGGAAGAGGATCAAGCAGATGATGACAAACTGGAAGTAAAGGAATATGATGTCATTTCCAGCGCAGAAACAGAAGACGTGAAGGTCAGCGTACATCAAGGAGACGATAGTAGCTATCTGAATCTGGCCAATCAAAACGAAGAAAAATCCGACATGAAAGTTCATCGGCGAAACAAGTCCAGCGGCTTGAAATCCCGTGAAGCATCGGTGGAAAGATCCATCAACCATACGAAACGTCGTACAATCCTCGGACTTAAAATGAACTGTTGTGTTATTTTGTAGTTGGAGGATTATCTAGTTTATCTGGTCAAACTGAGGATTAGAGTTTGCAGAATTTACAGAGTTTTCAGATGAACATGTTTCTCTTAAAACAGGGAACAAGTTTCATAAGATTTGACTGCATGACTGTCTAGAAATTGATCTATGCCAACCTTTAAAACAGGGCATGCTGTTTAACAGCGTAATCAACTCTCATTCTCGTTTGACTGGTATCTTAAACATAAACACCAGAAATATTTTATCGAGGTCAATTAAGTTACCACATTGTCTTCACTCGAAAATACTGAGTCAGTTTCACATTTTTAATAAGTTATTACCAGGGGAATGAAGACTTTTGAAACATGTAAATGTAGGTTTTCTAATAGTTTTTTAGGGCCATAAGGACCATGAGTATTTATCATATAGTAATCATGAGTATTTATCATATATCATCTTTCTCTTTAGTTTGTAAGCTGGATTTCTATATTCACCGAATAGTGTTTTTCTTCGTTGTATTGCATTGTTGTTGTTTTATTGTAAGTATTTAAAAACAGTTGAGAAAACACTATCCGGTGGATAACCAACGCGAACCAGCCTTCGTACAATTTTGGGTTCATTTTAGCAACTTGTAACAAGTTTACAAATTACAACAAGCTTATCTTAGAAGTTGTCAATTAATGTTGGCTTGATCAATGTTTAAACGCATTGCAATAAGGTATAAATATTCAGAACTGAAGTAAAAAACATTGATTATAGACTATTTGACGTAAAACAGTTGAAGGATATAATATAATGCGTTGAACTGATGCGCTTTCAAAATATATCCTACCAACCTAGAGCTTGCAACGGGAAATATGCGAGCGCCTTTTGGACAACCAGAGTCCTAAATTGGTGTAAAAAAACTAAAGCTAACTTATTTTAGAAAAAAAATACCAAATTTGTATCCCACTGCGCTTGTGAGAATAGTTCAGTGCACGTTACTTGTACATTTGAAAGTCTGGCGGTAATTTAAATATTTATAATAATAATGAAGTTCATCTTATTATTAGGCGCAAAAGTAAGGACGCAGGTGAATACGACAGGAATTTTTGACACCCTGTAGAGTAACTGTGTTAAAAAATACCTCCATGATTAGATGTTTAAATATCGTAAGTGATAACCAGTAAACTCCTAAATTTGTATTATTGTAGGAACATTACAAGCACAACCTTGTCGCAACCCAGTGCAACTGCGGATAACAGGGTGTTATCAACGAATACACCCTGTCACTAACGTTGAATAATAACTTTCCGGAGGGTGTTAACCACATACTTAGATTAAAAAATATTGACCTTTCGTAGTTTATATTGACTCCTACTGTAGAATACATTTCGTAATATTTTTTACAGGCCAAAACAAGCAAACTTCATTTTCATTGTTTATGACTTCCGATAAGACACCTTTCGTTTTCGATGGACGTTTGAAGCGTGAAATGGAACTCGTAAACGACCCACAGCAAGTTGGACCAAGTGTTTTGGGAAGTATAAACGACGACGCACATGAAATATCGGCATTTCAACGTTCAGGAAGCCGATTTGGTAAGATTTTGGCAAGTTCAGTGGTCTTATATACATCTTACGGACCGAAATAATGAAATTAAAACATGTTGAACTGTTTATGGTCATGGAGGGTAATGTATTGAGTAGGCTTCGATATTTAACCACGAATATGTTCTTTCTTGACAGCTCAACTGTACAAGTGTATTCTGTTATTTAAAGCTTTGTTATCTGTATATATGAGAGCTACATATAGATTCTCTCTGACAGACAGCCTTAGAAGTGAAGCCAATTAATTAAATTGTAAACATTTACTATTCAACATGAAGTGGGATAGGAAGTTACCATCTAATGGTTAATGGGAGCTCTTCAGCATCATAAATATACAACATCCTATCCATGTTTTATAAAGTTATCAGACGTTCTCAGCTCTTTACATATTTATTGTTTTTTTGTATGAAAACCTGAACACAATTAAGGTCAATATCACATGAACCTTTTCATTCATGCTTGAAACATGTAAAACTGCATTTGATGACCATTGCCTGTTAGAAAGTGTTGAGGAAATTGGCATAACTGCATTTCAAAGAGAATAGTGGTAGTCAAGTGGTTAGATAACTAGTTTGACAGCATGGAGTGTAATTAATTGTATTTTCATTATAATTAATATTATAAATAATCATATCTGTCATTTAGCTCTTTGGAAATTGAAATATTTTTATCTGTTGTTTCAGATTCACAAGAGCAATATGCCTTCCAGGTTTGAGTAATTTTTAACTAAAATGTGATGCAAATGTGGTAAAGATAGACAATTCTTTTGAAGCAAGCTTTTTTTTCTAGGAAGCTTGCATTTATTTAGAAAAAGGAGTGGCAAATGAGAAATACCATGAATTCCATGATCATCTTGACTCACGCTTTGTGTGTTATCTTATTGTTCACACAACCTTGTATAAAGTTCTTGATGTTATTTCATCTTTCATATTACTGGCTCTGGCAACCATTGAACCTCCTGCAATGCTTGGGATGGATGTCCCAATTTGGGTATGTATAAGTTGGTACAACCATTATCACCACTAGTTATCACTGTTGGTCATTCCAATTACTGTGCAATCACCATTGTCACCACTGTCAGAGCTGTTATTAAAACCACCATTGTCATCCTAACTGCTTATATCATTGCTTATATTAATACCATATAGATACCACAAGCTAACACAATTTATCTTCTCTTATAGTTGCATGGTGCTCTAGAGATATCTTGTCTTCTGATCTTAGTTCTTCTTTTTGCTATCAAAATAAAATGGCAAGGAATCCAGTACTCCAAAAAGCACAGGCGAACTTTGTTCAAGGTATACTAATGAGATACTATGTAGACAGACAACAATCATTTGTGGTAATTACGTTTCAATTGAGATCTTCATTCATTCATTTCCAGCCTAGGTACTGCATCATAACTTACCTATGTACAATATTTTTATTGCATTATAGTTGATTTTAATAATAACAATGACAATTGAGGTTATTGTTGTTTTGAGTCGTGAGAACTCGCATGTCAGAGTCACAAGAGCTTTGCGGCCACTGTTCCTTCTTGATACGTATTACTTTGGTAGGGTTCGAAGGTAGGGTCACCGGGCGACCATGTCTTGCTAAGTGCAACATTGACTGAATTTTGGTTGAGTTCAAGAAAATTTGCCAAATGTTTTCTAAATGTTATTTTTTTCTCCCCAGAGTCTTTAGAGATATATTAAGATCAATGCCTCCAGTGTTGGATATCTTTGGTCTTCTGTTGTTTTTTATGGTCATATTTTCCATACTTGGTAAATTTATTATATAAATTGATTGACTTTATTGGTGGTGATAAGTTGCATATGAAGGTTGTAACTAAATATTGTAACTTTGAGTGAATTGTTTTATTCTGTGTAGGTTTTTACTTCTTTTCAACAAATGAGAACGACCCAGTAAGCATGATGCCTTTGTTTTGTGTATATGTGAAACGATTACTTTCTAATTTTTTTGTCATGCGAAACCATTTCTCTTGATGTAGAACTTCACTACAATTCAAAGAAGTTTCATCAGTCTCTTTGTTCTTGTGACAACAGCAAAGTATGTAGAATTGAAACTTTAGAAAAATTAAAGAATGAATATAGTTTACTAAACTATAGTTTTATGTGTTTCTAGTTATCCTGATGTAATGATGCCAGCTTTCAATCACCATAAAGGATCTGTGTTTTTCTTCGTCATATATCTTTCTGTCGCTTTGTATTTTTTCATGAACCTGGTAAGCTCTTGTTGTTAGCAGAGAGAGATGCCACTCAGAGGAAAACTAGGAGAAAATCTAGCTACTTTAGAAGAGAGTCAAGAGACATTCCTGGATTAGTAGCTTTTATTCGCTGATGCAATAAACTCTTCCTTTCTTTAGCTTTTGGCCACTGTTTACTCCACTTTTACTGCCAAAAATATCTCGAAATTCAAAAAGCTTTATATTCACAAGCGGTGAGTTTGCATGATTTGGTTCCCAAGTTGAATTTCTGAATGAAAAAGAAGAGTTAGATCCTGGGAAATATTCCATAATACCAGGGGTGCCGGAACCACGGGGGCAGCTACCCCCCCCCCCCCTACCATATAAAAGTATCATAAATTTAACATTTAATCATGATGTCTACTTTTCGCATAAAAACTAACTTAGGTAATATTATTGAAAATGCGTTCTCCCGTGGATTTGCAAGTTCGCATGTACTTGTAAATTTGAGTTTCCTCTTCGTGTGGTTGCTGAGGTAAAATGAATGTGCCCTTTTCTAAAACTCTGCCCCCGCCGTCCTAAACTGCTTTTGTAGGTTGAGAAACATGCTATGTTATATGGGGCATGTAACTCGGAACTGATTTTGAAATATTTTATAGAGAGGGTTCAACGCTGGCCTATAACAAAATCAATGACCCAGCGGTATGTATCTTTTCCATATATGTCTGTGTATCTTTTACCTATTTATTTTAGAAAGGTTGGACATTTCTATGTTGTTTTTTCCACTTTAGAATGATGGTATCGATTTTACAAAGTTTCGAAAACTAATGAAAGCGTACAAACCAAGGATGAGTAAGTTTCAAATATTACTACTGGCTGGCCATATCGCCGCCATATCGCCTATAACTCAGTGAAATAGTTTTGAAGATCAAAATAAGTGTTTTGTATTCTTTCACAGCGTCATTGGAAAAAGTCATAACGTTCAAGTTTCTTGATCAAAGGAGATCTGGACGGATTAAGTAAGAGTCTGTTTACATCATCCGCAAGATTTTCCTCTACGTCTTGATAATCACAGTCTTTTTTGAAAGAAAACGTTGAGTTATTTCAATCATTTTCTTAGCTTGGAAGAATTTCACAATATTTATGGTGCTACGGAACTTTCCTGGCGTCGGGTAAAGATGATGATTTCATTGAATGATGTCTGATGAGGGTCGATTTTGGTTCAAATTTTACAAAAATCTTTTGCACATATGTTGTATTTCAGTGCACTGATGGCGAATGGTTTTACGATTGGAATTTCCCAGCCCCAATTCGTAAATTGTTACGAGGTTGGTAGCTATCTTAATAGTAAAGATTCACTAACGAAGTCCATGTTTCCATCCTCTCAAAAATCTCTGAATTTCACTTCATTTGAACGATAGACATCTCTCAACTTATAGCAATCCATTTATTGGTGACAAAATCACACGAGAAGTCTTTCTGTTCATATTTTGATATCTTCATTTGTAAGTTCCAGTGCTTTTTAACAACTTTTAATTATTACAATACTCTACAAATGGTACATTCCTTGGTTCAGTGAAAACATCGCATTCTTTTTTCAAATCAGATGTCATAATTTTTATCAATGGCTGCACAGTTTCGTATGAGGTGATTGATCAATCTGGTACGTAAGATCTCATCCTTGAAATCTTTAATCGCCAAACTTACAGCCGTAGCTACCTGAACTTATCAATACTTACTTTATTTTATCAAAATTTTAGCCATGGCTCCTTCGGATCGATCTTTAGATTCTGTTCCTTGGTTTTCACATGTTTTCACAGCAGGTTTGAGACGAAGTTTCTTTCAACATGCATTCTTAATATTATTATATATTATTTATATATATATATTATATATTATATATATATATATATGTATATATATATATATATATATATATATATATATATTGCCTACTGTATTACTACTAACATTTCTGTCTTTTTCCATACAGTTTACGTGTCAGAAGCCGTTTTAAAACTGCTTGCTTTGGGAATTAACGGCTATTTCGACTCCTACTGGAATTGGTAGGTTTTGCTTTGTTTAAATACAGTAGATATTAATATCTTTGTTTTGTACAGTTTGCCCTTGCATGCTTGTGAAAATCTTTCGCCAATCTTAATTTCAATATACTCTATTTATGGTTCGGTTACGATTCTCATCTTGTAGGGAGCTTTGGTCGGGTGTAATTTCGCTATTTATCTTCGACCAACCAGACTACTGTTGTACGTATATTTCTACATATTTAGTTAAATAATATAGAAAAGTCTCTGAATATGAAGACCTTTCCTTAGCAATTTTCTGCGAAGTAAATCGAATTACAATTTTGACTTTCGAGCTTTTAATTCTTTGTTATCCATTCCAATCCCATCTACATTTGCAAATATATTCATCATACATATATCGTTTTGATAGGACTTACATTAAATATAAATGCATACGTATTTTTGTTCTTTGCCACAGATTATTCAAATTGAAGAAAAGTTATAGGGTCGTGTTTGATACTTTGAGAATATTGTTTGCAAGTTTGATCAAGTATGTGTTAAAAATAACTCTTTAAAGTTGAGCTGAACTGTATTTATTCTTTCCCGACAGAAATCTTTAATACCTGATATTCCTCATATTCCATTTTTTTTTTTCGATAGTTTGGGAATCGTCATTGTTCTTTTTTATTATTTCTTTGCAATCATTGGAATCGAAGCGTTTAGTGGCACCAATCTTAAATCGTGTTGCAGGTATGTATGTTAGGAAATTTCAAAACAAAAAGTGTTTTTCAAAAGGTGTGAACATCAATTTCGAGGCAATTTGCTTCAAACACGGCACTTTAGGCAACTGACATACAGTTTGGAAAAAATCCTTTTTGTTTTAGGAATTTATCAATCCAAGATGCGTACGAAGAGAATGGGTATTATTACCTAAACAACTTCAACGGGTTTTTTCACTCTTACGGTAGGTACTCACTGGGTAATAAATGGTGGTATGGTACCTTAGTTGTCTGAGAAGACTGCTTGAAAATTCATTTCACAACAGACAAATTTTCTGCAGATAATCTTGTACAATCTTTATAAATCTCGAGTCGAGATTAATATTAAAAATGAAAGCTAAAATTCTCAATATATCTTTTACAGTTACTCTTTTTGAATTGACTGTTATCAACAATTGGCATGTGATAATGGTAAGGATTGTATCTGACTTTTATTGCCCTGTTCTTGTCAGGAGGATAATACTATAATACCATTCCTTTGAGATTTTCATCAAGTTCCGTGCCATGTTAATATTTTATTGCGATCATTTCAGGAAGGATTTGCAGTGGCAACAAACGAATGGAGTAGAATATTCTTCATGATTTTTTACGTCGTTATTTTGGTAAGAAATTGAACGAAGGTTCCTTCAACTTAGCGATGACGTTTTTTAATCCTCAATTCATCATTTTAGGTCGTCACGACAATCGTTGTCACTTTTATTTTGGATGCGTTTGTTTTCACGATTAAATTGCAAAAGAAAAAGAAAAACAATGAAAGTAAGAAAGTGTTTAACTGCAATGTTTTCATCCAGAGATTTGATCTGTACACTGTACCGTTTTAATTTATCTGCGAAAGTGATTTGACTCTGTTAAATTACCACTGAAATCTTGTTGACAACTCAATTCTTTTCTTCAGAGGACACGCACAAGGTTTTACATGAAACTTATCTCACAAAGGAGGAATTGCGGCAAATTAATCCACGGCTTGTGCGTCCCGACGATGCAGTGAGTTTTATGTTCGTTCAACCATCACTTGCATGTTTGAGTAAGATGTCAACTGAACTCTTTGATATCGCAATTTTTAAACAGGAAAGAATTATATTTATCGGTGAACGCGTTATAACCCGTGATGATCTCGTGGAGGAAATGCACAGAGATGAACTAGAGGTAATATTGAGCCAACCAACCATCCAGCCATTCGCTAGTCGCCATCGTCCATGCATCCACCTCAAAGCTCTTTCATTCTCTTTTTGAAGTTCATTATTCCCCAGTCTTCATCCACTAACAGCTGTTTCTCTCACAGACCTTGCGTCGAGACTACGACAACACGCTAGAGCGATCCCATCAAACCCTGCAGGTAAACCTATCAATAAACTCTGACCGCTATGAATTACATGATCATTCGACTGTCTCTAGTCAGGAGGAAGACACGTGACCAATAATGAACCAATCCCGTTTTTCACAAATGAAGCTGCTGTTAATTATGTGGGTATATTTTAAAAAAGATAGTAGCGAATCGGTTTCAATAAAACGATCCAATGCAGTACTTAATGTAATTCGATATGAGCTAGAATATATTTGTGCATAAGATAGATTTGCGCTAGTATTTATAATGTAGATCCGTTCCATTGTATATGATTTTGTATAGACCCTAATTATGGTGCTTTTTTAACGCGATCCTAATGCCCAGTAATGATTTTTTGAATATGCGTTAGCATGGCTACACTTTATTCATTTTATTCATTTTGAGCATATGTCATGTCGACACTGGCCAAAATCGCTATTTTTAATTAACAAGAGATATATGAATATTTTTATATTTAAAAGAAACTTGGATATTCTAAGTCTAACACAAATCATACTCGTATACAACGATATTTTGTAAAGAAATATATGGGTTTGTTGATGCATAGTTTATTTAGTATTTGAAAATTCACGCCGTAAAGTTAAAAGCTATGAGTTGAAACTTGAAAGCTTCGAGTTTCACCTCAATTTGCAAAGCTTATTAACTGACACCTGTTGCATTGAATATAAATGAGGCATGCTTTGTGTCTCGGATCCACAGCTGAAAACCTAAGCAATATGGAACTACGCCAGCTAGACAGATGTCAAGTGCATGCACGTGTTTATCGACACTATTTGGCACAGCAAATGATTTTAAAACAGTCCAAACTCGTTTATAATTAAACCACTTCTTCAATTTAGCTCTGAAGCTTGTTTTTTAGACTAATCGTCTAAAAGATTTCTCAACGAACTCAAACTTTCAAAGGGTCGAAATAGGTCAACCAAGTTCGGAATTAATTCGTTCATCTTATTATTATTCTATTCTTAAGTAGTTTTTATTGTCAAATAGAACTGTTGATTCGAAATAAGTTGCCTCAGCTACAGAGCAGATAAACTGGTGGTAATCGCGCACTTGACCCCCTAAAGACGACATTAGAGACTATTCTCTTTAGTTTAGATCACGAAAAATATTAAAAAATTGAACCTTTTTTATTGTAATTGGGAAAGATTGATCTTTCTTGAGAATATAAACAATTTGTATCGCCGCAGTTAAGGATGTTGAGCTTGTGTGACAGAGAGTTACAAAATGATTGAGTTAAAACACTCTTTGCCGCAAAACACCTCGAATTATTGAGGTCTGTATTTTTCATGTTATTGGACGAGAACTCCACAAGGGTTTTCGCCAATTTCCTGGACTTAATCCTTGCACATGAAGAGAGTTTTATAAACACCGCGCGGTGTTTCTCTGATGTTCACACAAGCTTCCTACAGGCAGCGTGGTCAATATGGCCATTAACACCTTCCCGAATAAGGATTCAATAGAATTTGCATCTCTCTCCAGCGTCTTACAAAAGGCATTGTCCTTACTTAATAGTCACTTCGAATATTAGCTGGAAACTACTGTATGTAAAGCTTTGAAAACACGAATGTATGCATTCAAAGTTAGGGCTGGCGAACCTGGTAACATTAAAAGCCGTGGCGGCAAACACCATTCACGCAGCAATTTTGACTGATCCCGTTGCATTTCTGACAATCATTTTTTCACTTTAGGATTGTGTAAACACAATTGTCTGCATCTGAAGTTTCTCTCCCTGTTTGTCAGCAGAAATTGCTCAAAATGAGGCACTGATCAATATTATTTAGTTTTGCCTTGCAGTTTTATTGTCTTTGAAAGCTGGTACCAGCTGATGTGAAATGCGAATTAGGCGTTGTAATCATGGGCGGAATTAAATGAACGATTAATATTCTCTCCTGCCCCCACCAATTTAGCGAAAATTAGCCGAAAAATAGTGTAATTTTGAAACATATTGACAAGAACGCTGCGGCTGAGCTCTTTTAGTAGGAATAAACAGTTTTTTCCTTCAGAAATATTGATATATTTGTGAACAATAGACCAGCTGCCCTACCGAGGCATGGCAATTTGGATAAACATCAATACAATATATGATGTCATTTCCTTTGAAATTTCGGAGCATTTAACTAGCGCACGCTTTTGATCAGTCATCACTTCAGGAGCGCTTCACTTCTTGCACCGAGGTCTTGTGAACTGCGTGTGTATTTTATAACTGTCTTTGTGATCTCGTTTGAAACATGGAAACTAAGTCAGATAAATCGAAAAAGTTCTCGTTTCGCAAGCGACGAACGAGCAAGAGGAAAGAAAGAAGCTGATATACAACAACCTGTTGATCACGACACTGAGGCAACTGCTGTTCATAATTGCGAAGAAACGCCGGAAAAAGCTGGTGATATTGTCGAGCAAGATGTTCAGGCAAAGACAAGCGAGGACAGAAATGTCGCCGAGCAATCGTCTGGCGAAGATGGCAGCCCGAAATCAAACGTTGAACCGGGTAACGAGGGGAAAAAGAAGTCAAAACGCAGAAGTCTTTTTAAACGAAGCAGCAAAAGAAATTCTGCGAATGAGGATTGTGAATTGAAGACGAAAGAAAGCGATGAAGGACAAAACGAAGCCGGTTTGGTTGAAACTACTGCTGTGGATATTGCTATAGCCAATGTTGATGAACGGCAGGTTGTTTGTGAGGAGAAACATGGTGAGGTCACCGACCAGAGCGATGGAGAAGGTTATTTCAGTGTTGGGGAAGCCAGCGAAGTCGAGGGAGAAGCCTTAGCTGAGGAGAAAACATCGCCAGAATCTGAAGCAGAGATCGCAACTGACAAAGGTACGAAGCGAAAGAGCTTTTTCAAGCGTGGTTTGTCGTTGAAGCGTAGGAAGGCGAAGAAACAAACACATGAATCAAAGGAAGAGACCGTGACGACAGAGAAGTCGTGTTGTGAAGCCCAAGCACAAACCGAATCCTCCTCAAGAGGCGTTGAAGTCGTTGAAACAACTGTACAAGCTACGACAGGGGTTGAAGGTGACGTATGCAGTCAGGATATAAACAATGAATCCGAAACAGACGCGGAAAATACGTCTGAAAACCTTCCCGTTAAATCACCAAGAAAGGTTTCATTTGTCGGACCTGATGGAAAGAAGATTGAATCTTCTGACGAGGGGGATTCCCTGGCCGAACAAGTCGTAGAGTCTGCTGACGAATCCGATGAAGATACGGTAGTTCCCGATGATGGTCCGAGTAAAGTGTCCGAAGAAGCCTCGGGAAATACCGCTCCTGAGATCGTGGTTGTGTCGGAAGAAGTCGCCTGTGTCGAAACACCTGCAGAAGGTAAGTTTTATCTCTTATTGATCCAATGTTAAGGAAACCTTCCAGTAAGGATCATGTCTTTTGATCCAGTGTCCCTGACTTATATTGATTCGTTCCTGACGTTTTTAGCCCTCCATACCTTGCCTGACTGACGTTGAATACGTTTAGGTGACGATGATGATCTTACAGAGGTATCAAGCATGTGTTCTGACCTGCTCGCGTCATCTGATGCTCCTGATACGATCTCAACTTCAGACACAAGCCGGTTGTTTGTGTTCACAGACACTGAAGACAGTGGATCAAGAATCACTTTGGAGGAAATCAGCGAGGAGTCTGAGGCCGAACCAAAAGAGAAATCAACGAAGGAGGCTGAGTCCGAGTCAAAACCGGCAGTGGTTGGTGAAGAGACTGAGATCGAGTCCAAACCAGAAGTGGTCGTCGAAGAGACTGGTCTCGAGTCAAAATCTGAGGTTTCCAAGCAGGAATCGTCGGAACAGAAAGACGAAAACGAAGCTACGAAGTTGCTTGGCAACGATAACGCAAGCAAGGCATGCGAGTGGGAAATGGTGGATAAATCATATGATATGTCTGTTGAATTATCACGAGTCAGAAAACAAACATTGTTTAGTGTTAAGAGATTGTGTTGCTCAGTTATGTAAGACATGATAACCAGGTTCAGATGGAACATGAGCTTAGCCAATCACGGACACGATGGCTCATGGAAAGGTAAAGATAGAGGTAATAAACTCGTATATGAACCTCGCTATTAATACATCAAGATAAATGCTGAACCTTGGACTCTCCTAGTCGTGCTGGTTTATGGGACCTTGAACATTTATATTAATATTTGTATTCATTCATATGAACATTTGTCACGAACAATTCTGACGCATTCGTTTTGTTTTTGACTGGAACGACAGCTGCTTCCTTTATTTTTAATTTTGCGAAATTTTTTGAAAAGTTGTCTTCCTCAAAAACGAAACAATTTATAGCGAGAGTCAGCGGCTTTTAAATTAAGGAATTGTATTTTATATTTATTATGCATTTAAGGTTATATTATGAGGATAAATAAAGAAGGGTATTTAGAATAGAGTCTGTTGTAATTAAATATTGTTGTGAAGTATTTGTTAAAGGTTGGAAATTGATATTTAATAAAATAGAATATAGTATACATTTTTTGGGTATTTTTTAGGTCTATTATTCCTTTCGAAAAGATTGCATAATTTTCCTAGTGAAAAATAGTTCAAATCTAATTAATTACAATCATCGTTCACCCATGGTTGGTGCAAATATCCGTGCAAAGGTTCACTGTGCCTAGACAATTATTCAATTAAACAAAACTAATTACAGAACCAATTAGAACAAATTAGAACCAACCTATCAGAACCAATTAGAAGCAATTAGAACCAAGCATACATGAGACATATTTCTGGTGCAGTATTCATATGAATTGCAGTTATAATCTTTAAAGTTAAAGTTTTCTCTCTTTCCTTCGGACGATATCTCTTCCTTGCTCTGTCTCGATATTCCTCGCTAATTAAGCTTCTTCTAGTTTCCCTGTCGATTGAATGGATATCGTTCAGAAATTCCCTCAAACATTTATCATTGACTTTGATGAAGATGTTATCTTTATTGATACAATCATTCGTTTCCTGATTGTTTCTTTCTGTGTCCTTTTCAATGATCTGAAATAGACTATCTACTTCATCATGACGTTCCTCGTTCCCTGCTGTTGTTGGACTCGTCTTTTGAACGCGAGTTTCCTCATCAACTTGACAATCTTCTCTGGATTCTCTGGCACCAGGAAGTTCAGTTTCTTCTTTCAGATTAAGATTTTGCTCAGAACCATCACGACTACAGTCGGTACTTTCATGTTGCTTGGACATTTCACAATTCATTTTTGTATTTTCGTTGTTATTGACATCCCTCGAGATTATTATTTCTTTCCGTTCTTGATTGTTCATGGCGCCAACTCGGTTGTCATTAGACAGCTCTGAATCATATTGATAACCTTTATTATTGTTATCATTGATGCTACTTGTTGATAATCCTGAATCGCTCGGAGTTGTCGTTTCCAAGTCCTCTTTCTCGGACCCGGACTGACCTGAAATCATCAATAACGTTGGTCTGATTTTCAAGGTCGAAAGATCTGTTTTTTCCAGGTCTTTTTTACTGTTTGATCTCTCGTTTCTGCTGTCAGACTCAGATACAGAGGACGAACACTCGTCTGTAGATTTGTCTGCAGTAGTTTCAACTCGTCGCTTCAAACTATTTTTCAATTCCTCTTTGGGATTTGATCTTTCTTCGGAACCTTCCTGGCATTCACCTCTCATCTTCTGTTTTTTAGTCAAAAACCACGAATCTCTTTTGACAATCTTCGGTCTTACCCGATTCTTAGATTCTTGGGGTTTCGCCTCAATGACACTGCTTCCTCTGTCCCGGGCGCTTGGGTACAACACATCTTGCATTGAATTGTGATCCACTGATACCCTCCTTGGCAAATTCAAGTTATTATCACTAAAGGCACGCTCTCTGTACAAGCTTGAGTCGGTTGAGCATTCCTCTTTGGGATTTGATCTTTCTTCGGATCCTTCCAGGTATTCAGCTCTGATCTTCTGTTTTTAGTCAAAAACCACGAATCTCTTTTCACAATCTTCGGTCTATCCCGATTCTTAGATTCTTGGAATTTCGCCTCAATGACACTGCTTCCTCTGTCCCGGGCACTTGGGTGCAACACGTCTTGCGTTAAATCATGATCCACTGATACCCTCCTTGGCAAATTCAAGTTATTATCACTAAAGGCACGCTCTCTGTACAATCTTGAGCCTGTTGAGCATTCCATATCCGAGTTAATATCGTCCATTGATTTGCTATCATTTGTTTTTCTAGTTTGCTGTTTCTTAGTTTTGCCGAAATGATCCAAATTATCCTCGCTTTGGCTTCGTTGTGGTCTCTGTGAATGTGAAGCATTTAAACTGGATCTATCTTTTAGGCTTCTAAATTTGTCAGACGAAGAACATTCTTTGCTGTCCATGTTTTTTTCACTGCCAATGCTGGGCGAGAAACTCAAATAATCCTCAGAATCTTTCTTATCTCCCCTCGTCATTTTTCCATCAGTTTTCCCTTTCTTTCTGGGCAAAAATCCCTTCATCCTAAACCTCTTAGATGATTTCCTATTTTGTAGTTTCTCGTTGTGTGTGGAGCTGAGTTCATCGTTCATTAATTCCTCTTTGATGATCAAATCTTCTTCGTTTGATCCTGAAACACGACTGTTTGGTATTGATTTCTCTTCCACTTTAAAACTACCATGACTGTTCGGTGGTTCATCAGGGACTTCCTTTCGTGTTGAAATCGTATCAAGGTCCTGTGGGAAGGCTGGGTGCTGCTCAGCCAAATCTCTTTGTGATTTCGCCGAGGTTTGTTTATCAGATTCGTCTTGTTGCACACAGAGCAACATGTTCATAATTGTAACGAAATCCCTGAAAATTATAGCACAATCTATTGATTCATCTTGTTGTACACAAAGCAGAGTGTTCATAATGATGATAAAATCAATACAGGAAAGACTGGATTGAAAGAAAGACATGATTACACTTTTCATTACCTGGGATTCTGAAGCTCGTCCTCACTCACATCAACGCCAATCTTCAACAGCGACTGTCTGGTCTGCTCCAAGTCAGCTTCAACTCCCTTGTAAACTCCAACAAACTTATTCAGTTCATATTTATGATCTCCAACAACCCCCCTCCATTTCTGGTTGTTCTTAACTTCTAGCTTTTCATCTATATTCGTCGCTTTCTTGCTCAGAACCGCTCCGACACTACTATCTTCATCTTTGTCCACAGTTTTTTCATCCTTGTTGGATATTGTGGTCTTATTGCTAGTTGACGAATCTTCTTTAACATTGTGGAGTGATTCTAAAGCATTATTCAGTGAAATTAATCTCACACCATACACAACAAAAACAAACAATCTTGGGGAAATACAACGATAGAAACTCGTTTTAGGATAGAGTAATGATTACCTTCTCTCTTTGCAAAACTCAAACCGGCATCACCTTCAGACGGCGAATTGTCTCTTCTTCTTCCTTTACGTGTCTGCTTAGCTGGCACCCAGAAGTTCCTGTCCATTTTATCCCATTCAAGCATATGTTTTGTTCTTCCCTTGAGGGTATTCGGTCCACTTCGTACAGTTGATTTCAGAATAGGTTTCTTTGGTTGTTTTTGCAATTGAGTTTGTATTTCTTTCATCCTGGTAAGCTCCTGTGACGTCCTCTCGTCCGTGTCCTCGTCTTGCGTGAAGTTTTCGTTGGGGTAGTCAAAAACAAGACGAACTTTGGTTCTACCAAACGAGACTTTTTTTTTGGACTTTTCAGTTGGTGTTGTCGTATTTTTTTCCATCTCAATCTTTTGTTTATTTCTACAATCATGTAGAAGGAAATTTTTATATTTTGATGTGAGAAATGTCGTAGTTTGTTTGACAGTTTGAAGAACGTGTTAGCCTCCATATTAACTGCATTACATTAACAATAGTATCGAACTGCCGAATTCGATAAACAGAGGTTTTGACAGATTTAATGGTATGTGAAGACTATTCCTTGCAGTAATATGAATCAAAACGCTTGGAATAAGAACTTTAAGAGTCAAAAGTCTAAATTGCCAAACGTATTTTAACCTACCTTCAATGTTTATAATAATGTGGAAACGTTTCGCAATGTTGTTTGATGTTGGATTAATTACGTGTCAATTTGAGGCTTTGAAATCTCGAGAATCGTGCAGTGTATCCTTCTACCATTATTGGAGTATGACTGTCTGGCCTTCAGGATTTCTTATGTGAAATATTGAAAGTTTACTTGTAGGTAGCGCCGACATGTATCCTGACTAAATAAATATATATTTTTTAATATTTTCATTTTTTCGGTAATGAGTTCCGTTCGACAAATTACCGCACAAAAGATGAGCGCTTCAACACTATGAAAAAAGCTGTTTAATGTCAGTTAATGGGTTACCATTGTTTCAAGGTATGTGATAGGGAATATATTGAATAAGGAGGGGATTAGTCACACTTTGTCCCAGTGTACATTCTCAAAGGATTATTCATAAACTTGAGCTAGTGTGGAATGGTTTCAGGAACAAGAATTCGATGATTCTTATCACAATTTTCCTTCCAAGGATGGCTGGTTCGTACTCAAACATATAATATTCCTGCGAGTTGCAACCCAACGTGGTGGTAAATTGGTGAAACGACTTTGGAATAAAAACAGGACTCGTTCAATGATTTGGTTAAAAGGTATGCATTTACAATCTTCTGAATAAGTTAAACAATAAATACATCTCTCAGCGTGGAAGAAAACAAGCTGCTTTCTCGTACGAACATATTTCGTTATTTTCTACTAAAAGAAAAGTACTCGGTGTCTAAAATTCGTTTTAAGTCTCAGTTCCTCGCGACTAGTGGCGTATGTGATTGAGTATTATGTCCTATGATATATTTTTGCGATCATTTAGGCCTAATTTACATAGAACATAGGATAGACTCACTCACTCATACTATTTTTCGACCAAATAGCTTAATAGCACTAATAAAACCAAACAATGACAAAAGCTATTCGTATTGTATGTAAATAACTATGGGTCCCACTTTCAGTTACGTTATGACAAATTACTTCTTCTAACCCCAGACTCCTAGTGTGTTTATGTTAAGGGCTCCTATGCATTATGATATAATAATACTTTGTGGGGCTAGCGTCTTTGAACTTGCGTTAAACACCATCTTTATCCCCTATTATCAAGCATTGGAACACCACGTATTCCTCTCTAAAACAGTGCAACGGGAATAAGATGATTCAGGTTTCTTGTTTCAAGAAATCACACATTTCCCTCCACCACAGTGACACTTGGTCTTTCCCTCAGCAAGGTCTTCCATACTGACTCCATACGCCGGGAGATTATTCATCTTCGCCGCAGTATTTTTACCCTTCTTCTTCCTGCGTTTTGGTTTTCTCATTTGCCTCTCATTGCTCGCCTCAGTCCCAGGCGTTGCGCGCGGTGTGGAAGTTCTTTGATTACGTAATTCACTGGTATCATCAGACAAGTTGATCTCATCAAAATCACTCAATCTGAACTCTTTTCGTTCCTTCGGCTCGAGTCGTTTTCCATTTTCTTTCTCCATTCGTCCAGCAGCACTTTCAGATCTCTTCAATCCATTAAAAGTCAAATCTTTTGTTAAATTTTGCCTGGAACTTGGCAAGGAGTGATTATTGGAACACAAACTAAGCGAAGACCCACGCGAGTTTTTGCCACTCCTGTTCATCCAACTCGAGGTGTACACGTAGACTGGTCGCTCACCGTCGCTTAGCAACTGCTCTTTACTGGCCTGTCTCGATCCAGGTAAACTACGCGAGCTCAGAGACCTCTTCGCCATCACATTACTACTCAATTTAGGGCTGGCTTTTAGTTTAGCCAACGTCTCGTTCAGGAGTTCTGTTGTTTGATCCTGAGATATGGCAGAACTATCGGTAATCCTATCCCAAATAGTAGGAGAGGAAACTTTTCTCTGGCCAGAAAACTCTACAGTCGGGGAAACCTGATTTGAGGTAGACTTGGAGCCACCATATTTCCGTCCGAAGTCCGAACTCTCAGTTCCAGTGCCATTCACGGCCTCTGTCCTAGTAGTTCCTACGTCGTCCGTGTTTTCAGCAGACCTATTTCCATTCCTCTTCACACCGACCGTGCATTTTCCCGCGCTTTCGTCTGACTCTTTCCTACTTCGACTTTCAGCCTCTTTCATAATCAGGCTTTGTATAACCTTCAGTTTATCCAACGCTTCGTTCGTGTTCATAAGTTTCACGCTAGGTCTCCTCGTGTCCTCGAGATCCCCTGACTCCTCATCGTCGTCCGAGAAATTTGGCGGGCTGAGCTCGGTCCCAGTGTCATCCCATTCTAACGACAACGCGGTTCTAATCTTCTCAGTTGGTTTCGAATTTTGAGCGAACTTTTTGTCGCGAGATAATGCAAGCAGCGGGCTATGGCTTCCTTTAGGCCCTGGGAGGGTCTTGCTGTGAACCTGACGGCGGGCGTTAATCATTCTTTCTCTTGATGTTTTCAGACTTTCTGAGCGTCTTATGTCACTTTTTGTTATATTGGACAACCCTTCAACGTTATTTAATACCGGGGATATCTTACGGAGTACTTCACCGATCGGAGACTTGACCTCTTTGGGTTTTGCCACCTTGTCATCGGATTCTTCACGTGACAGGCTGAGAATCTGCTGGGTTTTGTCAGACTGGGGCAAAGGTTTGGATTTCTGGTCACTCTTAGCATCTGCCAGTGGCGTCATCGCAGGCAGCAGTTGTTCACGTGATATATCCGTGTCATTCTTCTGCTTAGCATGATGTTTGCACATGACAAGACTCTTTCTTGGGCTAATGAAGGTGGGGTATTGTCTGAAACCTGGGTCATCCTCTAACACGGGCGGCTCCTCGCCATCACTCAAACTTTGTTCCATTCTACATTGCATGCAATTTTCTGATCTTCTAGGAGGGTCACTCTTTTCTTCATCCCCCACCTTTTCCAGCTCTTCTCCTACACCTGCCTCCATCTCGTTCCCAAATTGCCCCGTTCCCCCTGCCATATCTTTCATAGAAGGTACGGGGGTGTCCTCGTTCACCTCACCCTTCACCTGTATGGCTTTTTCCACATCTTGAGTTGGCTTCCCACCTAAATCCTCCTTAGCTTCTGCCGGTCTCAAAGCCACGTCATTCTGAATTCCATGTTCGACTGTGTAATAATCTCTGCCGAAATTCCCTCGCTGTTTTAACAACACTCCCCCATTTTCTCTCCTTGTTTCTGCGATAGCCAAATCAAGCTTGTTCTCCGAGTCATTTTGAGCCAAAAGCTTTGATAAACGAGGAGGTTTTTTGGGCGACTGTTTTGCCTTTCTTGGGACTATTGGCTGTTTGTATGGCTCAAGTTCTGCTTTTGCATTCGTCAGTGAAACCTCGTCGTTGGCTCGTAAATTCTCAAGCGATTCTTTCTCTTTGGTTGCCTTTCTTGTTTTGCTTTCGTTTTCTGAGAATGCACTATCGTTATTCTCAGATTTTAGCATACTACCAGGTGACTCGTCATTGCTAATAATTCCCGCAGCGTTCACGTCTTCACTTTTCTGCAACGTAATTCCATCTCCAATCTCATCACATTTTGGTGTTTCATTTTCCACATCCTTATTTAGCGAACTACGTGACTCAGTGTGCGACGCCACAACGTCGTCATCATTACTCTCCAGTCCCCTGACAAGGTTCTCCTCGCTTAATACTTGACTTTCTTCAGTTTTAAGTTTATCATTGAAGTGTTCAACTTCATCAGTTTTGTCCTCCGGAACATCCATACTCGTCTCATTGTTAAAGACTAAACTGTTTTCATCATCCAAGGCGGATTTGTCGGTTTCCAATTTCCCGACCTTTATCGTTTCTATTTCCGGCTTCTTTCCGTCTCGGCTCGGAGCCTCTCGGCTTGGTTTCGTCGCCATTCGGCTCTTCGATGTTATTCTAGGGATCTTTGACTTCGAGTTTTCGCGCGAAAAGATAAACTCGCTCCCAGGTTCTGTAACCGGCGTGTCCTCTTTGCTGCCGACGGAATCGGTGTCACCGAAACCTGAATCACTTCTCTGAAGCGTATTTAAAGTTGCACTGACAATTTCTGGTGATCCGCTGACCGCCCCTTTCTGAACATTCGGAATGCTGATTTTTTGATCAGAAACTAACGTTGTCTTGTTTTTAATTTGACCAGTTTTTGACGGTTGAATTTCAACCTGTGCATTTGAATTATTCCTCTGCGATGATTTTGGGGCGGTCATTTTTGGTATGTTGGATTTTCGCGGGAGTTTAGATTTAGTGACGTCACTTTTACCAACTCGTAGCTCATCACCAGTTCCCTCGCGTTTCGACGTAGATTTCCCAGCATACGTTGCTCTCTCGTTTTCTTTATCAATGTTTTGTTCTGTTGTTTTATTCGATGCGCTAGTCCTAGGATCTCCTCCATCTTGTTTTATGCTGGGTATTCTTGAGTTACCAGGATGCAACTGTTGACCTTTGCCGCTTTTTACGGGAATACCGCTAGTCACATTTGGTTTGGGTACAACAGGATCATATTGTTCCTCAGAGGTTTGTTTACTTGAAGCATTTGAAGCAGTTCTGCTCGATTTAGAGTCAGCTGGCGCAGTTTTTTTAACGACAGGTATTTCTTTTCCAGGCCTCTCGGATACGTTCAAATTGACGTCAGCACGCTTGAGAGGAATCCGTGATGACTGAGATCCAGTCCCCCGAGGGATTGCCTTTCGAGGAATCTTCGAGCCTCCCCCTGCATTAGATATACGCGGTTGGGTACTGGGATCTGATGTTTGACTAGCTTCTTGTTGGCTCGTGGATCCACGTGAGTCGCGAGATTGCACGCGCGGTACACAACTGTCCGTCCCGCGTGTAAAACTGTTAGCACGTTTCATCACGGTGGGTCTCGAGGCAGCCACGGGTAAACGTGAGCTCACACTGCGTGTTATGGGCTTGCGTGTTTTGGTAAACGTGCCTGAGTTGTTCCGAGTTCTCTCACGGTGCTCGACTTCGTTACCGCACTCACTGACGTCGGAAATCGAAGAACACTCGTCGGAGTCCGGTATGCTTTCGGGAGGAGTCGTGAGGGATCGTCGTAGACTTTCTCTGCTCAAGGATCGACGCTTTTCTGTGGTGTTAGGTACTGTAGGACGTGTTGTAGCAGAGGGTGGTATGAACATGTACTCAATAGCTCCTGGAGATCCCCCAAAGATGGCGGAGGTATTGGGTCGTGATGGTTGCACTGTGATTGGAGCGCCAGTGATTGGGTTGTATCGTTCAGTACTAGACAATAAGAGAAGAATTGATTTTAAAATTTAATAAGTTACTATTACCGTGCGCTCGGCAGGCTCGTACCAGCGGTTCTCATCCAACACTAGTTCTGGTCATTCTACACCTCTCACCACTCTAGTACTTTAAACAACAATGACTTGAGTCGTGGCATTGCAGTCTGACAAGAGAAGAACATCCTTGGCCTAAAATGTCAAATACTTTTATCATTTCAGTTCTATTATCAAGTTTCAATAGCCGCGTCTTTGAGCTCTAAAATAAATTAAACGTGCCTGTCATTGCAATGAGACAGACATATTTGATGATACTTAAAAATGTCCACTTATCTACTCGCTGGATGACATTATGTCCTTTCATCCATTATCTGAGTTACATGAGTTATGAAAAATATACATGAAACATGTCTCCTATCAATTGCTTTCGTGCAAGACGTCAATCTGTCATGCTAAGAGCCAGTATATTGGCTGTGAGATGTTTGCGTATAGGCCACAATTATCGCACGTGGATTCAAGTGTCTCCTACAGCGACAAAAAAAGTGTCCTTTGTTTGAAACAAATATATGCAAATATTACTTGTCTGAATGAAATGGCGTAATTTTCAAATATCAGAAAATCTTATTGAAACCTTATTTATGGTCGTTTTACAAATTTTATCTCGTCCAGTTTCGTACGTCATGTTTATCCTACCTAAACGTCTATTCTGAACTTTATAATGCATAGATGATAGAACTTGCTCTTATATCCGTCTCAAAGTTAAGTTCTTGCTCTATCAACCCTAAGGCGATGTGATATAAGTATTTTCGTGTCTTGATAGTTAATACTTTGTCTAAAATTTATACGGATTTTTATAATTTTTCCTATAACAATTGTACTTCAATCTTCACACCACTTGTAAGCTTGTTCAACTGTATGTAGACTTTATCGGTAAACGTACTTATTATCTTTTGAACATTATTTCTATATGTGCAAAAACATCTCATAGTTACAATGACCACATACCTGTATATGCAGAAACAATATTATATCTAAACAATTGCTCCTTCGCTTTCAAATATGATTGTTGTGTCAGAACACGGCTTGGTTCAACTGAAGGCGTTACTTGCGCAGTTGGTTATCATTTTAGCATCGTGCATGTATACAAGAGTTTATATTATATAGCTCTATACCTCAGACTGTTATGTTTTACAACAATCGCAGGTTTCACAATCACAGCCCCTACCGTGTGCATGGACTCAATTTGTTTTCATATCTTCATGCACTTGTTTTAAATCGCACAAAAACCGCTAAGCCTGTGACCGACCAATAGTCAGCCGCAAAACAAGTTGAGGTTGCTTTGAAAAATGAAATGTTTGGCCAATGAGAGACGGTTTTATATCGCATCATGTTTACTCTTCACTGGTCTTTATCGATGAACAATATTGAGATGGAGTATTCCGTCTCGTGATTGGGCGCAAATGAGTCTAGAAAGTTGCTTGATGACACAATATAGATTTGAAAAACAGACAGAGAGTTGTACTCCATCAATCAGTGTAATAGTTTTCGGTTCATCGACCAACTGATTTAAAACGAAAACGACATCATTCCTTCTTTGGGATTAAGATTGCTAGTCTGCTGTCACATGTGTTTATATCTATATTTGCCGACTAGAACTTTCAATTTTACTTTAACAACCCGTATTGCCTGTATAAATATACCTGAAGATTAAAAACGCGATTATCTTAGATTAAAATGAATAGGTACATAAAAGAAAGGCTTACCCTACTTGTGAGTATACACACTAACAATTCCTTATCCCACGAAATGCAATCTTCCTACAACAACAGGCGGGCGAAGTACATCAAAAGCGTCGGAACAAACGACTCTGATTCCTTCCAGTTAGTTCCGGCAACTACCATAAACAGTCTTGTTATTGAGGAACAAGCATGCAACATCACAGGCTTTAAAACATCTCATGTACAAAGGCAATCGTTTTGGCGTGGCGATTGTAAAGGATTAGACTCAATTCAAATGATTCATTTTGGATGCACGACAGCTGGTTTTTAATCATTAAAAGCGCGTTATACAACTGAGCTGTAGACAAGCTGAATACATCTTTTAGGCGTACGCTGGCTGTATATATTATACCAAACAATAGGATCTAGAATAAGTTGAAGACTTATTGCAGCTCTTTCGATCACAGTTACTTCGAAAACGCGCACGTTTTGAATTAATTTTTTCATTCTATTTGCTTTGCTGCTAATTTAACTTTTCCAAACACGCTTTGCGTACTGCGGTTCCCTAATATCCACATACATTAAGAAAGCTTGCAATCAAACCAAACATATCCGTCGTTTTAACAAGAAATCTACTTTAACTTACATTCTTGAGCTTTCAACGTCGCTCTTTTTCCGTTTCTGAGAATTTGTATAGGATCTTTAGGTTTACGACATCGAGGCACAACTCAGTCAAACGTTGGCAGAGATAATCAAGGCTTGTATGCTAATGTTCGTTGCATCTCATTAGCAACCGGTAAATAATGCAATATGGACCGATAATTTCGATTGTCCTTTCCTGACAATGCTAATACGAATGTAAATTTGCTGTCGTGAAACAGAAAAACAAAACCAGCCCAAAAACCATCATCGTTTTTTGGAGTAGCCTAATAGAACTCGGTCAAAAATATGGGGTACGTGTACTACTTCTGCAGTTCAGCACAAGAATACTGCTGTAAATCTGGTAGCCTAGTCTGTAACTATAATATTATTGTACCTTCATTAAATATTAATGATAGAAAATTTCACTTTATTTATTCATGAGTTCATAATGAAGATAGCATTGTCTGCATGTAGAAGAACAGGCGACGACAGACATAGCTATTGTTTGTGATTCTCATATAAAAACAAAAACTGTGTTTCCGCGTTGGATTTAGTTAAAATTATTCAGCGTGGTCAGCCGTGGTGCTTTTTTCATTACAAAGCGTCACTCGTTGAACGGAACTGAATATATATGTTTCATACTACGGCGAGATGAGAGTTTCAAATCGGTTTTTCTACTGATCCCTAAACTGATACCTGCAAAATTCATACAACTGAAATATATTTTTTCAGTTTTATAGATTTTTGTTTTGATATCATGGTTGACCGTAGAAAAAAAGCCAAGCACGATAATTTCAGGTGGACTTTGAGGATGACAGCGGTTTACAATTCAAAATCTTTTCACACTGATGCGATAAAGATATTAAAAAATCAGTTTCTTGTCTGTCGATTCACACAAGACTGTCTCTAAACATTAGGATAATATGAAGAACATTTTATTAACTTAGCTTCAATTTCATTGCTATTGTATCAAATATGCAAGATACTAAGTGGAAATTAACAAAATCCATGAGGTATAAGATATTTTTATATGGATCCACAACATTAGATATTTCGATATATTAGGCTTTTCCCCCTCCAGGGGTTTTGAAAAATATTGAGCTGATCTAACTGATTTCCCAACTGAGCCCACATACTGTTCCCGTTACTTTGGTGATTATACGAGACTGCGAGTTACAAAATGTTACAAAGCATTGGTGATAATTGGTGAAAACTTTAACGTCTTCTTTTGACGCAATCATCCCAGACTTTTGGACCCTGTAACACTTATTGAGGCGCACATTTTATGTATGATGTTGTATTTATGTAAATAATGCATATATGCTTGCAGTTTGCCAGAGCATCATTATGTGAATGAGCTTTGTATGACTTGACTGAATATGATGATACACATTGGCCCTTCTTTTTTGATGATGTCTTTTCTCTTATGTGCAACCTGACAGCTTGATTCGTTCATGGTTTAAAATTTTAGCATAGTTTGGTGTGAGTGGATATCAATACTCCACAGAAAACAATATAAAGGAAACTTTATAGCATCTTTCCTCTTCATTGTAACGCGTAGACATGCAGAGTCACAGAGGAGCCTTGCATGCACACATACAGGGTCAAAAATCTTCTCATGTTCATCATTAGGTCGCGAACATCTAGCTTTCTAATCACACAAAGCCAAAGGCATTTAAAACAAAGTCAATGCAACAAACTACCTTTCGCTAGCAACCTTTTCACCCGACATCGTATTTTAATAACCACTTAGTTTAGTCTGTACATCTAGATCATTCTATCCATAATAAAATAATAAATAAGTAATTTTATAAACTTACAAGAAGCCTGTATTAACAAATCTCACGAATGCAAAGGCCAAAGCATATTATAGATCAAGAAGATTCATTTCACAAGCTTCTAACATACTTTCTTAAAAGGATATTCTAGGATGAGTATATCTATCAACGATATTATTCATACAGGACACTGTGATGAGTATAATGATTAATAATTTATTGTGCAAAAGCTGTTTGTATTCATCTCTAAAATCATCCAAGTTTTGATCAATCTAACCAACATGGATTCAAAAAAAAAAGCCACGATCGTTTCATGACAATGGCTGATCTTATGGCTTGTAAAAGATTCTACCATGCGATACCTCGTCAATATATAATGCAGTCACTACAACAGCAGACGATTGATTGATCTTATATCTCAATATAGCAATAGAGATGAGTGCTTAGAGCTTTAGACAAACTGGATGTTTAGACAGTCCTAGGTCGATCATACACATCATTTCACACAGCCCAAAGCGGTTGGCTTTCAAGTCTATATCATGCACCTAAACCTCAACAGTTTTGTTTGTTTTCAGTGAGATTTTGTCGGCTAGGATGTAATTGATTTTCTCCTGTTTCATGTGTTTGAGTACAAACGTGTGCAAATTTCAATAGTCTTTCTGCTTTTAACCTTTACGTGCGTACTTCGAGCTAACTAGAGCAGAGAGAACGAGGAAGAAAATCTAATTAAATTGAGTATGTTTTAAGTTTGAAACTGATACTCGCTAGAGCGTAACCGCCTGTAACAAAAGCAATTGAACAATTCTCACACTAACTCTCCCTAGAAACAACGTGAAATATATATGATTACCTTGAACGACTGTTTAGCTCCATTGTAACAAACAAAAACTTCACTGAGCTCCTTTCGTTTTTGACTGCCTATAATCCACGTTCGTCTTCGATGGATGTTTGAAAACTCTCACGGCGCGTCAGTACGGTTATTTTGACAATTTTTTCATTAGAAATTCACAATCAAGGACAGCGATGTTTGGTCTTTGTATTAAGACTGTCCATTCATAACAGGTGAGCGAACTCTTGTATGGCGTAGTAATTTGCATAACACTTTGTTGAGGTATAATTTGCTTTGATTGGAAAAGAAATTTTGGAATGGTTAACCGCCGTTATACTGCTCTAAGCGTATCATCAAAGACAAAAATTTCCGATAGTAACGGTTGAAACCGACTTAAATAAAAGTGATCTTTTTTTCATACACTCAATCATCAGCTCCTGTAAGGCTGTAACTGTAGGAATTATAGGCATATTGTGTCAACTTTGAACCAGTACTGGATCGAGTTGAAAGGTCTTACTGAGAAGGCTAGCCAATTCCTACAGACGAAAAGTGATTGTGTTGTATAAAGATGTTCATACATCTTTTTAAGTAGATCGTATATTGGCGTTAGATTGGAGGATCAAGGTTTATGATGGAATTCCATTGAAGTGTAGGATAGACCGTGCAGTTAAATTCTCCTTTATCCATTGGCATTGCTACCCTTATTAATCAATAGCATTCCCAATTTGGGAATGCTATTGATTAATTTTCATTCAAAACACGAGGTCCGGAAATCTAGGGTACTTTCCCAAAACAAAATCTTTTTACAATTTAGATCCAATCTTCGGCACTTTCCCGACAAATCCCGACAATCAAATATAAAATGGACAGATTATTTTAATGACATTTTTCTATCTTTCTTTAATCGTTCCGGGGTGAAATGTTATTGAATCTATTTTTTCCGGTTTGACTTTTCATGTTAATCCGGTGAGAAAAACCAAATATTGATCAGCAATAACCGGCTTCCAGCGGTTTCCGAGGGTAAATAAGACAACGTACGCAAATGATGTGCGAAAATGGGAATAAACAAGAACAGTTTTAAGATGCGGCATTGGAACAATCCAGAATCCAGATTGTGAAAACTTGATTTTGAAAAGCAGCGCGGGTGTATGGCTATTATTTCCAATTTTCCGTAAAGCTTTGTTTTCAAGGATATCGGCCAACTAATAGAAATAATAGCGATATACTTTAGAGAAACACATGATTAGGTGTTAGAAAGGAACATTTAACTTCGTTTAGGTACCTGAGAATAGCGATTCATTGCAGTCATAATATCGTATCACGTATGGCGCAATATTCAATTAAAGAAACTTTAAAACTATCATTGAACAAGGAAAAATGAATTCGTGGTTATGAAAATTTCGCAGGAACAATCGGTAATTAGTATTTCTTATGTTGCAGTAAACTTCTATGATGGTACCGGCATCTAGTGAACAACTGTGTTAACTTATTACTCCGGCGTCAGCGACGGAGTTGAAAATTCGCCTCGGTTTTGTTTTGTTTTTGTTTTTTTTTTTATTATTTTTTTTTTATTATTTTTCGTCGTCGCAAGTCTGTAATGGCGCGAAACATTCTAGTATTTAAAATGTGTATGTGATTGGATTTATCTATGTCCCAGTCTTGTCTCCCAAGAGTTGTGGTGCACAGCTTTGGCTAATTTTCCGATGCGCGATTCGATTTCGCTCGCATGATACGGCAATTCCTCCAAGAGGAACAAATAAACCGTTCTTTTCATGCTTTTCGATTAAGTTTAGACTGAATTGGGGTAAGAATATATTTAATACGTGTAGATTCTGGTCCTATTTTAGTAATATCGCTGCTATTTCGCCGTTTAACAAGATGATGTGGTCGTGTATGGGCGCTTTGACTCGTCGTAGTTTGCACAGGATTGAAGATTTAATATAACTATATAAGCGCGAATTCCAAAGGCAAAGTGTAAGACAAAGCGAATGTATCATACCGTTTATTTACATTCTTGAACGATTTAACTTCTATACTTTTTAAAGTACGATGTGCTTCTGAATTTCGCGATCGAACATTTAGGTTCGCAAGGCATCTAAATGCGAATATGAACTGTATTGTTTATGTTCAGAAGCTCTATATTGAAGACTGGCACGTGCGCCGGAGTTAACGCCAGAACAGGCGTCTTGTTTGACATAGAAATAATAATTCGAAACCATCTAGACGTTCTTGCCACTTCAGATAAGTCTGAAATAGTTCTAGATCTTTGGGTAGAATTTATCCTTTTAAGTAACCCAACTCGTATATTACAATTTAGGATGAAAACTATTTTGCCCAAGTAAACAGAAAACTGTAGTCTGTTAATGATATAGCGCGATAAACGTCTGAACTGAAGACTCTAGGTTCAAATTTCACCCATCACTTTACTATGAACATGGCCTCAATAAATATCTTACAGAAAGGTGTTCACACAAAATTCTTCCTAACCTTGTTTTTCCAGTAGCCATAGTTCCTTAAAACTTCGTTTATGTGATCTTGAATTAAAGAAAATGATTAATTCAGGCCTGCAGATATTGAAGCCATTGAACATGTGAGATAACCTCGACAGGAACGCTTCACGCATGCCTCAGACGACCCGCAGACAACGGTTACAAACAAATTGTTGATTTTTTTGTTGTAACACTTCAAACCGTCAACCGGTTAATTGATAATGAAACTCAAGCTGTGCGCGAAAATGTTACTTTGTTTGCATCTTTTTATATCCTAAATACACTCGTCAAAGCTTTCGTCATCTGGTTCTACCATAGATATTGCCATAGTGACTCTGGCTTTCTATAATAGTGTAAAAATGGTCGCATGCATGTAGTGAGGTTCCTGGTGGTCGATGGAAATCGGAACCCCATTTAATACAACATAATTTGGTTGAATAATACACATGGTTCACTTCGAAATGCAAAGAAACTACGGAGGGATTCGTGCACTGGCTTGAGAGTTGAGACGGCCTAAGACATAGTCAACTGATTTCAATCAGTAAAACTAATCCAAGTTCCGAAAAAACCTTTCATAGATCAACTCGAAACAACCAGTAATTTAAATTCATTTATTCGGCTACCGACATTTCTTTTTATTTACAAAAGTTAATTCATTAGTTAAGTGAAAAATAAGTTCATTGTTGCTGTTTTTGTTTTTCCCACTGTTCTGGGGTGAGTGTTTTCATCGTGAAGGCGTGAATATTTTTCATTTCTTCCTCCAAACACGCATTTACCATTCTGTGTCTTTGCAAGAGAGGTTTGCCCGAGAATTTCTCAGATACAATAACCACACTGAAACTCGTTGCGCATTTGTCCGCAGTGATGTCAATTACATCCTAAAAGAAGCAGAATTATGCGCACTTTAAGTTTTACAGCATGAAATGGTCCAAACAAGATCAGGACTGAAAAGAAGTGAGAAGTCCATAACTCATAAAATTGGTAGCTAAATTTGTTAGATAAAACTATGGTCATAGGTTCATTTTTATAACCCATATCGAATTGGAGGCGAGCATATGAACCTTTCATAAGGCAACGCCGCTTACCAAGTGGATTGGACAAAATTCTTTGGTTAATTTTGTTTCTAATGAAGATTTTAAATCAGCCATCTTGGAATGTTGGTGTTTTGGTCAGCGTGTCTGCGGAACACCGTGGATACTTCATGACTTTAATTCTTTGTTTTGGTGAAGGACTGGAGGTTCAACACTGCAAAATTTAGTAAAAAGTTTATATATTTTCATGCTTTTTACTTCGTGATTTACCTCATTTTGACATGGGAAAGAGACAGCATCAGAAAGATAAACTGTAAGTTAATAAAGACGGTCAGAAAATAAACAAATTTGGCATTTGAAGGAATTAGTGTCTGACAGACTGACACAAGAAATGATTGAACATCGCTTGTCATTTGCCAACTTTTAGTCTTTTACTGATAATGAAAGTTGTCAATCTCTTGAAAGGAGTCGAGATTTATAATCAGACAATCTATTGGACCAGATGAAACTATCATTACCTTCCATGTGTAATATTAAACTGTTTCGTTTTTCTCAACCAGGTATATTACTAACAAAGAATGGAGAACTGAATGGGGTGGAAAAGATTCTGGTATTGAAAAAAAATTATATTTATCGATAAATTGTAAATGTATTGTAGCTCCCTGTGTCCATAGTGCTGTTGAGGTTTGCCATACCACTCTGCTTATATTGCTACCAATTGCTTTTGAACTGCAGCCCTCCTGGATCAACCCTCAAAGTAATTTTGTTGTTATAGATTGTATTTTCATGGCAAGACATCACACCAAACTCTAAAATAGCAGTAGATAATATCTCAACCCCCCTCTTCTCTACTTTTCCCTTGGTGTGTTGAAATTTGTTTCCATTCATCTGGTAGTTCATATGTAATTATAAATCTTCATCATCGTAATTGATTAATGATAACTGCACTTCCTTAAGGGAGTGATGTTGGTGCCAAGGCAGCATTCAGAAGATTACCATTTTATTGTTGTAGGTCAGTTCCATGCGATTCCTAATAGTTCCTGTTGGTGAAATATACTTTCACACACTTTGTACTTATTTCAATATTTTATTTGCCTTCTAGTTTGTCATTACAGCCATTTGCTAACCCATATTGCACAAAAGAAGGTGTTGTTTTTGACCTGTTGTGAGTATAGCAATGCCGAATTATTTCTAGACAGTATTTAGTATGAGGGGATATGTGATGGGAAATACTTTCTCGTATGGAAAAGTAGAAGTTTATTGTACCCTAAAGCAATATCTTGACCTGCGTTTAGGAGTATTGTACCATTTATCAAGAAATTTGGCAAAAACCCAGTTAATGGAGAGGTATGTGAGTTGTTAAACCTTGGTTTCCATTCAAAGTTCCTTCAAGATGAAATGACGATTTTAAATTATCTCGTATTGCATGTAAAATTCCCTTGTCTTTCCAGCCTTTAGAAATGAAAAACTTGATCAAATTGAATTTCCACAAAAACAGTGATGGTAAGACATTAATTAAACATATGTTTTTGTATCTAAAGTTCCAGGTGGTTTTAAATGGAAACGTATTTCTTTAGATAAATATCATTGCCCAGTGACATATAAAGTGTTTACGCAAAATAGTCACATTGTTGCTGTGAAAACTACTGGTAATGTCTTTGCATATGAGGTATGTTGCTGTAGTGAATATTTTTGAGAAAAATATTTGAAACAGTGTATTGTAGCCTGAATGTATTTCTGTTCTGCCGTAGGCTGTAGATCAATTGAACCTGAAGACGAGAAACTTTAAAGACTTGCTGACAGATGAACCATTCACACGTAAAGATATTATTACAATCCAGGTATTTGCGAATGCAATAAAAAGTAAGTTTCCAGATTTTTGCTGATAGTAGGTTGTTCTCTATTCAATTTGCAACAGGATCCAACCAACCTGGATAAATTTAATCTTGCTTCATTTCATCATTTGAAAAACAACTTGACAATAATTGATGAAGGTTAGGAATGAACTGATGGTTCTCTTACAACTTCTATTATGATCCTTCCTGGACCTATGTAGCTAGGAAGCAGTTCCTAGGCATTGAGAAAATTATGGTGGTGTTATTAATCCTTTTCTCCAGGAGAAACCAAAGCAATGCAAGATCCAATGTACCATATAAGAAAGACCAACACAACAACTGAGAGTATTCTAAATGAGTTGAACAAAACATACAAAGAACCGGTAAGATCAATGAAGTAATTTACTCCACAAAATGACCAGATTTTTATTTAATAAACTATAAACATTTGAAGTTTATTGCAAAGCAATATGTAACATGGTATAAACATTTTATTCAACTTGTATTTATCTTAGGAAAGCAAAGCTTCTTCCTCTTCTTCGAAAGCTGACTCACGAAATGCTGTAAGTATTATCAGAATATAACATCTGGGTTTGACAATTTCTGTACACAAAACTATAGTCTGTGCAGAGATTGTCTTCACTCAACCTTGTCTTGCTCAATGTTTTGTAGTTTAACTATTCCAATGTGTAAATATTTCTCGAATGTTCTTTTGCTGTTTTAAGGCTCCTTACTCAACTGGTATGATGGGAGCTTCTCTCACATCAACTGCTCGTGTTCCTGTGACAAAGCAAGAGGCAGGTGAGTGGGAATTATGAGTTGTTTTCATTGCATTTCCCCTTTTAAACTTTCCCTCCTCTCACGGCTAATCTTAATGGAGATTACTGTAGTGGAACATGCCTCCTCAGGCCATTGGCATTTTGCTTCCAATGAGAGATAAATCTTCACTCATCTTTTCAGCAATCATTGATGAGGATGTTTTACGATACAGAGAAGTGAAGAAGAAAGGTAAGATATAGTAAAATTACTAAACATAACAATTTATTTTGTTTTAATGGTTGTGGTATGACCCAGAAGCACAATATAAAATCTCTAAAACAGTATTCGCATGTTTTCTAACGCAGGCTATGTTCGTTTGACAACAAACATGGGGGATTTAAATCTGGAACTTCATTGTGAAATGGTAAAGCAGATCATGGAGGATAGATCATATTTGTCCATTCTTTTTTTACAATCCTTTTTTAATCTCAACTGAAAGATACTACATTGTGTGGTTTTGAAGCACTGTATATATTAATGATTACTGTATATTTTTTAATTCATCATCTCTTTCTCTTTAGGTCCCTAAAACATGTGAAAACTTTCTAAAACACTGTGCATCGGGATACTACACTGACACTAGTAAGAGCTATCTTGATTTTGAAGTTTGCTACATAAGCTAAATATTCACCACACCCATTCCTTGATTATTGGTAGAATACTCAAATATAACTCTGTTCTTCGTTGTAGCATTTCACCGATCAATTCGAAATTTTATGGTGCGTAAATTTAGATGTTTTCATTAAAACTTTTGTCTGAAATATTACAAGTGCCTTTGCGTCTTAAACTAATTTCTCTCCTGTAGATACAAGGGGGTGATCCAACTGGAACAGGAAGGGGTTGGTATAACATCCTGCCTTTCACAGCAAACCTGAGACTTGTTGGTCAGTAATTTCATTTCCTATCATTCCTTGCAGGAGGAGAGTCCGCGTGGGGTCCTGCATTCAAAGACGAATTTAAACCGAACTTAACTCACACAGGTTTGAAAGTTGAAATCCCCGTTTACGCATTAAATTTTTGCTGTGATTTCCGGTGGATTTTCTTCTTCTGAGGGATGAGGAAGAGTGCAAAGTTACGAAACTCTCTGATGTATAAGTGTCATTATTTACACACCCGTGACTTTTACACTTCTTCGCATCTATCAAAAGAAGATAATCACATCTCAACTCTCAGCAAATGGTCTATGATTCTTCTCATCCAACTTCATGTCTTTTGAGTTTCGTTTTTGATGTAAATTACAACGAGTTGCTCTGTTCCAGGTCGCGGTATCTTAAGTATGGCGAACTCTGGGGAAAATACAAACAAATCTCAGTTGTAAGTTATTTTAAAACCATGCAATACTAGCTGTGTTTCGTGCGTAAATATAAAAACTAAACGTCCTATTTTTGTGTCTATTCTGTAGCTTTATAACCTACCGTTCTTGTCGCCATCTTGACAACAAACATTCAGTTTTTGGACGGTGAGTTTGCAGCAGCAGTCGGGGATTTTTTATGCTTTTTTTTTGTAACTTAACTTCATATAAACTGAGGTTCTATATGAACTACAAGTTAGTAAACTATGAATTTTTTCTATAGTGTCGTTGGGGGAATGGATACTTTAAGCAAGATGGAAAAAGTCGAATGCGATGAAAAAGATCGGCCGAAAGTACGACACGAAATATATCTCACTAATAATCCTATCATTGCCAAGAATTAAACAATTTTGCTTTTGTTTTTCAAGGAATTGATCACAATCACAAACGTGAGCGTTTTTGTGAATCCTTTCGAAGAAATTGATGAAAAAGTGAGTTTTTTTTCCGTTGAAGTTTCAGTACAAATATTATCATAAGATTTTGAAGAAAGTTCGCCAGTTTTTTCCTTGATAGAGGTAGCTGAAAAGGCAGTTTTCATTTTTGTTTTAGTTGAAAGAAGTGAAGGAAAAAGAAGAGGAGGAAAGAAAACGAGTGGAAGAAGTGCGTTATGAAGATGACCTTCATCATAATGAACGAGAAATGTTGAACATGATGAGGGTGAAAAGCCTCTTGAATAACTTTTATGTTTTTATATTCCAGGAGGAAAGAAAACAAAACACAACTTCTGCTTTGGAAACTCAAATGACGGTTCATCGATCAGGAGTTGGCAAATATATACCAAAAGTTGCAAGGTATGTAGCTTGTTGAGCCCTGAATGTATATACATCATCCACGTTTAGTAATTTACTTCGTCTAAGGTCAGATCACGATTTCACCAATGATGTAGCCATTACCACAGTCTTGGTCGTTGATGAGACCTAACGTTTTTATTTTAGTAATATCGAAGACAGTCCCCCGCAACCAGCCAAAAAGAAAGTTAAAAAATCTTCAGGATTTGGTGATTTCAGTTCATGGTAACTGGTGGCTTCTCATGGCCCTCGCGAGTTCAAGCAGTGAGTGGTGAAACTACCAGCAAGTCTAGCAACTTGTACTCTAGAGCTTAGGTTAGCAGAATGCGAGAGCTACTGGCACTAGTGCCTCTACGGTGAGTTCACTGGACTTAAAATTAATCTCTCAGGACTTGTAGCGAAATCTATACGGCAATATTTTGACAACTGTGGGCCACTGGACAAATATACGAAAACTCCTGTCGAAAATTCATCACTGGTTCACTGTACTTAAGCCTATATAGAGTGAACAAAGGAAGCTTCATGCATCTTTGCGGAAACCAATACAATGTAAGACAATAATTTACAATTATTTTACAACTTTAATTCACACATTTGACAGATCATTCATTGTACCTCTCAAACGAACTGATGCGGTTTTTAAATTTATATTTTCACTGTCTTCTTGCAAGGCGCTGTCCACATTCTCCAAGACCTTTTGTAAATCGAACCGTATTTCTGGAATAACAACAGACTCCAAACGTATCGTTTGTCTGGCAAGATCCAGGCGTAGCCTTATCTTCTGTAATATCGACATTATTTGCATCCCATCTTTATTTGTGATGTAATCGATATGATCGATCAAATCATTTAATGTTACCAGGATACTATCTTCGTCGACTATCTAAAAGAAATGATCACATATCTTGACACTTTTGAAAAGCTGCGATGGTAACGTTTTGAGTATATTTAGTTTGCTACCGAGATCAACAATCTTTGGTGTGCATTTAGGTGACAAAACTCATCCCAGAGCTGAATGATGTTTTTGACCTAGTAAACCTACTATGATTACCTCTACTTAGCTTCTTTATCAATAGAATTCTGTACCTGATCTGTTTGGTGGATATCCTTCCCCCGTAGACTCTCGACAGCTGGTCGTAAAATGCTTGCTGCCTCTTCTAAGAACCTCACCACTCCTTTATAGAAAATCTTCTCTTTTTCTTCCTCTCTCAACCATTCTATTGCATTCTCAATATTGATGAGCAAACGATTGGACATGGTTGGATATGGCTAGACGTTGAAATCCAACCTTTCATTACTGATGATAATGCACTTGGCAATAACGCGCTCATTTGCATGCAGAACAAACTATGGACGTCGTGAGAGTCCCGCCTCCAGCTGGGATAACAAAACGTTATGAGCTTTCTCTTTTCATCTATATTCACCCGAGCATTGCAGTTTCCGTTTTCACTCGTAAAGTTAGTTTATATTTGTGCCAAGAGATTGTAGAGCGCATGGGGATGTTTTGAGGACAAGCTTTTTGTCATGCATACAGAGCCTATAAATAGACCCAGTGACATATCTAGCCAATCAAAACACTATAAAGTCTAAAGTACTGGGGATATTCGTATAATACTGTACAATCACAGTACAAAGAGTTTACTTACTGTACAATATTAACTACGACGATCTCGTAATCTGTAGAATCATATACATCAGAAGGAGACTCAGTTTCGACTGGACGACGTACGGACTTGTACGAACACAGTCGAACACGAACAAGCTCCAGCAACAAGCACAAGCATGTTCGTATCTTGTTCGAACAAGATTAATCTGACCGGAAATACGTCATTCAGAACGTCATCAGTCTGGCGATGTTTTCTTTGTTTTCGCGCAATATTGCGGGAAAAAATTATAAACGAATGCTGTCATTAGTGCAAGATGGACTACGATTTTGAGCTTGAAGGACCGTTCGTTATTTTCGCCAGTGAATTGGCAAGCGCTATCGATCAACATCCGTATAAACCAAGGGAAGAGACTATCTTTGGGGTGTGGAAACGATACGATCGCCAATCATTTGCATTTTACCTCGGCTTGGCTCATGCGGACGAGGTTTACGAGCTTTGCAAGAAGTATGTCAAGGATAGACCGATGAGAAATCCTCTTCCAGATGAAATCGACAGCCACTTGGGCAGAAATGCATTCATAAACTCGTTGAAAGAGATCTTCCTGAACTTGGAATGGCGCAGTTTACGACAGAAAATTATGACATTTGTTGACACGAAGAAATTTCACGAAGTGAAAGAGAAAGTGCTGTTAAGCCAGCTCGGTGAAACTGAAAGGGTGAATCAAGCTATCGTTAACCTGTGTTCTGAAGAAAAAAAGTCTGTAAAAGAAAAGGTTGAAGAGGTTTGTATTACATCATCTGTTTTTTTTACTAATCTGAATGTATTTTCATCAATAAATAACATCAAATCCTAATCCTAAAACTGTTTGGTATGTCATCATTGTCATGTTGATAATAACGCAACCTTTTGTGAAATCAAATCACCTAATCTGTACAGGATCTAAATCCTTCTGATCAATGCAACAATCTCCTATAGGTTTGTCAAACTATCACCAAGGAAACTGGCAAGACTGTAGACAAGGTGACCCAGGATGCTTTAGCCCACAAATTACGCCGTGACAGAGGGACAGTTTTGGAAGCAAAAACCGTGACAGAATTTGCAGTTGCCTCTGGAAAGGACGTGCGCAGAGAACCGGCAAAGTCATACCGGAAGCATATTACCTGTAATGACCTGACCTGGGTGTTGGTAGGTCGGGTTGATGCTCGTGACGAAGCCACCATAGTTGAGGTTAAGAACCGTACAAGAAGGTTCATGTGTCCAGATTATGATGTTCTGCAGCTTCAAGCTTATATGTTCCTGTGTGACAAAAGCAAAGGCATATTATTAGAGAGATTGCGTGGTGAAAACAAGGAAACACCATTTGAATTCAATGAATCGTATTGGAACGAAGCCATTGTCCCAGCCATGTATGAATTTGTTCGTGATCTTGAGGAAAGGGTGATCATGAGTCGGAGTATACTGGATGGAGTTACCCCTCCGGTTTCGCCACAAAAACGAGTTTGTAACTTTGAAGTTGAGTCGCCAAGGAAAGTCGCTAGGGTTGAACTAGGCTCGCCAATTGTCCTGCAGGGTTCCTCATGGGAGAACAAGGTACATTCTGAGGATAATGAGGTTCATCATGGTGGTAACAAGGCTCATCAAGGAGTCGATGAGGCTTGTCCACTTACTCAGGGGGTTCTTCAGGGATCATCCTGGGATGATGAGCCATCATCTGATCTTGGAATAAACTCTTCACATGATGGAAATGATTCTTTTGCTCTTTATTTATCACCGTCCGATACAGAAAGTGACGAAGAGCTGGCAAACATGCCATTAGATCATTTGATTGAGCATGCATATAATATAAATAATTGTACATAGATATAAAGATAGCACAAATAATTAGCAATTTTATAAGGTCTATCAAGACTCTTTTTAGCATTGTAAAATATTAAAATATATTAAAATTAATAATGTAAATTATTAGCTATAAATAATCACATAAATTATTGTAAAAGCCCCCCTTTTATTCTAAATATATTATTGAACCCTTCAACTTGTGAATTAGCTTCAATTCGTACAGTACATAATAATAAAATAACAAATGTCAATTTACAGGTAAGAATAGGAAAATGGTCTAAATTCATATCTAATTATTTTTATCATTCGTTGTCCTTTCCAAGTAATCTGTGAGTTTACTAGGGTAGTCTGTCATTACACCAGTAGCACCAAGATGCTCAAAGGCTCTAGTGAACTCTTCGTCTTCATTTAAAACCCAGAGGTAGGTCTACAAAAATTTTTAAAAGAAACAAACTATAGCCTGAAAAGGATCCATCTGCAGTACGTATTGAAACAGGAAGTAATGAGATTGTCATCATGTAGTAGTCCTGTTTGAAAGTGGATTGGAAATGCGGGATGGATTTTTCCTGGAATTCATATTTTTATGGAGCTGACATAATTTCTGGAGTTCCTGTCCCATTTATGAATACTATGAAAGTGAAAAACAGCAATATTACCTGTATCCCTCTTCTTTCTAGGTGTTTTATTAGGGAAGGATTCATAATGAACCTAAATATATATGATAAAAGATAAGAACTTAGAACTGTGAACATAAAGATTGGCTAACATGAATTAGTGTAACAACTTCAGGTAAGATAAGATGAAACATTTATTCTGCAGTACTATGATTACCAGTCAACTATTCTAACAATCATTCTTTGGTTGTTGGTAAGATCTCGCCTACAATAAATTGAAAATGTTAAAATTGATTAATGCTTTGCATGAAATTGTTTGCCACAAGATTTGATAATACATCACTTACTTGAGTAAGGTAGAAGGTAATAAGATCTCTAAGAAACCCTCCTTTAACGGGACAAATGGTAAAATGCCAAGATAATACATGGCAACAAGGGACACACAGCGCCAAATGCCAAACAATAATGAAATTTCTGGATCCTATAAAAAGATTTTATTTTGAGGTCTGAACTAACTACCAAAAGCATCTGCAGTAATTGAGCGTGGCTTTTGTATGTACCTTTTTATAAAGTTTGCTATTAACTTCATCACTAAAGGTTCCCCAAACAGTTTTATCTTTTCGGTTATAATCCACTATTAACTGGTGAACCTGTAAAGGAATTAAGATGTTCTGTCTCTCAAAACAGAATTCAAAAATGTTACAAGAGATAATATTTACTGCACCTTGTCTATGAGTTCATCATTGTTATCCTTGATATCAACATTTATTGGATGTTCAGGAAATGCCTTGAACACTGACTCCAGAAGTGGTATTTTTTCACTCGTGTTCTTTCCCACTGCTTTTTTACCTAGAAGATAAACAACTTGATATATTAGAACACTATTGATCATGGAATATGGTTTTAGCTTTCTGGTTACAAAAGAAAAACTTGATGGATAATTGTTATGTTAGCCTACCTGGTTGAAATGTGACATCAAGCACAGGTAATAAACTTGGAAGATCCTAAAAAAATCTAGTATTTTAATAAATAGTTTCCCGGGCCTTAAAACCCCATGCAATCAGGTCATGAAAAACGACAAGATTTGACACATAATATGGTGGAATAGATATGGAACTGTAGAGATAGAAACTGGAATAAGTAGCTAGTATGGGTCCTTACTTGGTCACTTGCAAGTTTACCTCGTAATTGGTTTCACAAATCTTCTTGCGAACCCCACATATTCTTCCAAGATCATTGTCATGGGTCACGACTACCTGTGCATTTCGATAAACCAAAAGGTGTGGGAAGAGGTGGTAGTGGGGGGCATCTTGACCCGACCCACTTGGCCCAGGATCAAGAATGAGGTTTTGGTCACCAGCTTTGGTACCAGTGCAAAAAACAAAAACAATTGCAGCCGTACCTGTCCATCTGCAGTAAGATGCACATCCAATTCTAACATTTCAGTTCCAGAATGCACAGCACTGAAATACGAGGAACATGTTTTAGCAGAGTTCCAACTTTTAGTTTTTTTATCTCAAGAACCAACTTACTGGTGATATGCCGTCATTGTGTTTTCTATATTCTCCCCAGCACCTAAGTAAAAACAAGCACTCTGAAATAGTATTCTTCCAATTCATGATTCATCTGTCAAGTAGCTTGTCATGGAAAGATCTTATGAAGATTGTCATGTTAATTAGCCAGTAATCCAATAAGAGAGCTCCATATCATACAATTCTTTCAATTAAAACACAATTAGAACGCATGAACTCTCATCCAAATTTGTAACTTTTCTTCAATCTATCATACTAAGATTTATTCCGTTCACCAAATTAACAGTAAAAATTTAATACGTTTAGCTCGGTTTCTTAATTTTTGTACATTGCTAGCGAGTATACATTTTTCATTAGATGCACGTTGCAAAAAATTGTGAAGTTAATTTCTCGTGACCGCAACGATATTAAATTACGTATAGTCTGATTGTCACACATGATTCATGATAAAAATACAATCCAATTGGGGGGAAAATCGCAATTTCTCAGAGGTTACATAACTAGATCAGGTGCTTGTACCCAAAACTTAGCCAAACTTCACCTCAAGTAGTTGAATATCGTCACTTGTCATATTTCAATTAACAATTCAAACACGTAAACAAAATCATGACAGAATATTGAGTTTCAAATCTACCTCCCCGATGACTTATATGCTTGCATGTAAATTTCCTTTCTTTCTTTCGATGAAGGAGATTCGGGAATCGTAAAAAGAACCAAGAGATACAGAAATAACCGCCAAATATCGGTATGAACATCGCAAACATCTGTCTTTTGAGTGAAAATTTTTAACCGAAGGTCATCACTTGGAGCTCGTCCAAAATGTAAACAAACTTTATGTGCCTGCGATGTAACAGGTAGCGGTAACTCCACTGAAATTTCTAAAAAGTGGAAGCATTTAGAAATGAGAAGCGCGATAAAATGAAAAGCGGTTCTTTGAAATGGAAATAGAAATTTCGCCGGGCAAAGGATTGTGGGGAAATGTGATCGGTCGTCGGAAATCGGAAACACTGTTCGGAAGTTGTGATCGGATCTTGTCGTCAATTTCCGTGGCCTTTAGGCAAATTCCTGAATTCAATCATTGCCAATGTCATTGTTTATAAATTTTTCAAAGTGTTTTGGTTTTCTGGTCTAGTATATGGATTTCAAGTGACTTCCGTTCTTTTATTGTGGATCATTGGCTAAATATACCACTTGGGCGATAAACGAAGTCATTAAAGGCGCTTGAAACGAACATTTATTGTAAAATACGACGAACTGTAAACTTTGAAATCCCGGAGGTGCGACGTGAATTTATTTGTGTTTTAGCACGTTCACTGTACGATTTTTCCCTATTGAAATGGTCTCCATTGGGTGTCTTTTTTACGGACGGAAGTTCCATTGTAGTGGATAGTATATCGGTATATCTTAAATAGTTTAAGGAGACGAAAATAGTCTCGTTTGAAGAATTCATTTGCGTGAGAGGATTACAATAATATGAGTTGAATTTTGTGTTTGTTTTTAGGGCCTGTATTTGTATATTGGACATTTGCAACCGCTTCAGGCAAAATGAAGATATGGGAAAGAGACCTATAAATCATGCTCAAAGTGTCTTTGCGCTGTTGTAGACAGATAAGCTCTAAAATATGGCTGTACAAATTGAATCAGCGTCGAAACGAGAGCTTTCCCTCGAGAAGGGTAAACTGGCAACGCAAGCTTGCCAAAGAGGCGATTTCGATGAAGCATCGTTGCTATACACTGAGGCTATATCATTAGATCCTCGTAACCATGTCTTCTACACGAATCGCTCAGCAGTATATATGAGAACGAAACAGTATGAACTAGCACTTGAAGATGGAAAGAAAGCCGCAGAACTAAAGCCTAATTGGCCAAAGGTACGACAATTTCACGTTAATTCGTTATATGTTTATATCTTGTTACCTTGTGATCTACATTTTTAATTGAAAACGCTTAATTCCGAGGGTATTTTAAACAAACTTTAAAAAGACTCTCTTGTGCGAATCGGAAACGTTCAATAATTGCGCGGTATTTGTTATTTTATTAGCCGGATTGTGTCGTCGGAGATTTTATTAGAAACAGATTTGAGATTTGGCTCCGTTTTAAGACCAGCCTACTGGTATTTGTATGTATTGGCAGAAAAAACGCGGATAATTGTGGTTTTAGGTAATACCATCTGTCCTGAACAACAAATTCATGACTTGCCGCGACTTCAGCAGTTAGTCTTGGCATCGCTGTACATTTCCCAGTGTAAACCTAAAGTCAATATGACCTTTAGTTTTCATAAAACATGTATGCTCACGTTAATATGAGGCCTTTATATTCGATCAGCTTATGGCGAAAGCTTATACAGTCTTTGTGTATCGGAGATTTAAACTCTGCAAGTGATTCCAAACAGGAAATTCTTTGTACATTCGCGCTTGTTTCGAAATGAATGTTCGCATTCATAGAATAGTATAAACGTGAATCACGAATAGAATGTTATTGCTGTGTTCGAAGAACATATTTGAAGTAATTAGAACAGAACCGAGTGTTTCAAAAGGCACTCAGAGCGTTCTAAATTCAATTAGAACGAAACTAGGATGTTCTAAACACAATTAGAACCTCTTAGAACAATCTTAAAACGATTTTAAAGTGATTTGTTCATACGCCTCGTTTGGAGCGTTATCGAGCTTTGATATTACTACGTACACACTATAATCTATATATTCATATTATCGTTTATTACTTCACAATGTCCGGTTTTCAAAGCACCTACTAATGAGAGTTTTTACGCTTTGCTTACATTTTAATGTAGAAAGATATTTTCCCGAAGGGCTTTTAGTATATCTAGTATACTAAAAGGTCTTTGGGAAAATATTTGAATATATCCTAAGGCTATATTAACCTGATCTCACAAACGTTTCGCTGATGATTTCATTTCACATGCTAAAAGACGATACGAGCTAGGTTTTCTTCTTATGGTTGATGTAAAGAGAACATTATAAAGGGACCATTGTAGTGTAAATTACTTTCGCCGAATAAAAGGTTAACAATTTTGTGGTGATTGCTGATAAGGTTTATTAACATGCATTTTATCGGACAATCCTTCAGAATTGAGATTACGCAGCTCTCTATAGATTGCAAAGTTAAAATGAGGATGTCTCTTGTAGTCATTCATCAGACTTGGTAATTCTAAACTCAATTAAAACCTGCTGTAGAGCAAATATTTTGCGTGACTCGCACGCTTCTATATCATCCTAACAAAATGTAACTAAATTGTAACTTCAAATGTATTCGAAACTCTACCGTCTTGAGGCAAAATAGCTTTGAAAATCTGATATAAAAAAGCTGTTGTTGTGTTCGTGATATGTTTATTTAAATGCCTCAAGAAGATAAAAGAATTCTAAATGTTATTTTAGTGTCTTTTTACAACATGCTATATATATATATATACTTTGAAACAATTCCTTATACCATACTTTGAGATTTTCGGTCAAAATCTTGGTGAAATAGTCGTGATATTATAAAATCGTTTCATGCTCTGTGAGTTAGCGATTCTTTCCTGCTTTTCTCTCTCAAAAATTGCCAACACCCCGTTGAGGAATCCTATAACTTTTCCATTTTAATCCGATTTTCCCGCGACGTTATTTGACGACTTCCTCCACGGTCGCTGCGTTCTACCATCATAAATCATCTTCCCGTGAAAAACCCTTGTAAAGCTTGTAAAATAAGCAATATTTCAGAAAGTTATCTAAAGTGTTCGTACGCGTTTATTTCAAGTGGGCCTCCGTGATTGCATGTCTGTGAATTTAGCTGATAAAATCAGACAGCATTCAACTTTTTTTTCCTATGATGGGCATAACGTATGGAGGTGTCAATATACGACTTAGCTCGGACCTGTGTGGTAATATCTCTGTGGGTAAAACACAACAAAAACACATTTTCTATATTGATTGAGTTGTCAAGGTCACACGCGTGCGATAGAAAACATAGATATCAATATGTTGGGTTATGTAACTCCTTTGTGTCCATGCCGTTTAGGGCCGAATACATAGACCCGGCAAGCCGAACTGGTCCGGTTGAATATAATCGAAACGTTCAAATTGACTATAAAGGAAGCCAGCCCGGTAGAATGGGACTGGCCGGTCCTTGTAATCTGCCCCTTGGCTTAGGAACTATTTTGTCTGAGTATAATCTTCGTGTTTCGATTACCGTAAAAGACACACAAAAGATTCATAGGTAGATCTTCCAAGGGGTTGGGAAGTTAAATCTGAGTCATAGGTAGTTTCTTCCTCCTGTGTACATTCAATTCTTACAACTAAACTATAATTAAATTATTCGACACTGCGTCTATGTCTGTACAAAACATCGTACAAAAGTTTGCTAATGGTTCTGTCTATATGGACGATCTTACATTCACCTTATGATAATGGAGAAGTACAAAAGTAGCCAATGAGTTTCCTGTAGAATGAGGCAAACAGCTTGTTGAAGGTGGCATAGCGTAAAGTACTAATCTCTAAAATTTAGGAGTCCGCAGACGACTTGTTGTGTCTAATCCTGTTAATATTTTCCATGTGTAGTGTCAACTATATGTAAACTTATACATGATAAGTGTGGTTAATTTGTCCAACCCATGTCATCACACTGTAGGGCTTCAAAAAGTTATCCACTATAACTCTGAAAGAACATTCGTTCGGCTTAATCATTTCCTTCAAATCATTTAAAAAGAAGCACTTGAGAAGTGACAGATTTGTCCAACGCCTGTGTATATATAGAAATAGTTTTAGCTTTCTTCAACGCAAACAGGATTTAATATGGTTCGCAAGAGATGGTTCATTGTGATGCAGTGCACGCATGCAGATTAATTCAAATGGTTGCTATGTATGTCTAAGAGGGACAGTTTAGAAGTTATCAAGTTGTCCAGTAAGTTTAAATAAAGTTAGTTTAGTTTATATTTTCCCCACCCGTGGTGACAATGTAGATCAATATAAAGATATCTGTTACTGGAGCTCTATATAATAAGAACAGATTCGAAATGACAAAGTTATCTCCAGTATAAATAAAATTAGTTTAGGTTACCTCCTGTAGCACTACAAGATCGATAAGACCGTATTACTGGACCTCTGAGAAGATCAGTGATCTGATAGAGCTATCCAATGTAAATATAGTTAGTTTAGGTTTCCTCATGAGGCAACATTGTTTATTTAAGCGTTGATCCTGGACCTCTGGACCTCTAGGAAGAACAGTTTAGAACTGATAGAGCTATCCAGTATAAATAAAGTTAGTTTATAAAGGATCCTCCTGTAGTAACAACATTCGATCAATATGAGATGATATAAATATAGTTGAAGCCAGGGCTGTAGTAACACTGGATCAATAAGAGATGATCATCCTTATTCGACCTCTAGGAAGAACAGTTTAGAACTGATAAAGCTATCCAGTATAAAGTTAATTTAGTTTAGGTTTCCTCCTGTAGTAACACTGGATCAATAAGAGATGATCCTTACTGCACCTCTAGGAAGAATAGTTTAGAACTGATAGAGTTATCCAGGGTAAATAAAGTTAGTTTAGTTTAGTTTTCCTCCTGTATTACACTGGATCAATAAGAGATTCTGTTTCTTATATAAATATTGTTCTCATGTATTGATTGCCAAATCATTTCATGGATCTGTATTGATCATTAGACTATTAGACAGCAGTCTCAGTTTATAACTATTTAACATCCAGCAGCGAGCACCCAGCTTGAGAAAATAGTTACACAAATTATTCTTGTGTGTTGTCCATTAATTGCTTTTTCCCCGCATGACACGTATGAAAATACACACTTTTATATAAGTACCAATTTAGAACATAACTCGTGAAACAAGCGTTGATATTATTAAGCTTCGCGGCTTGGTTTTGTTCTTGACTCTGGGGGTGTGGTCAAGCTGCATGATCAAATAAACTGGGCTGAACCATATTGATGCTATTTTAGAAGAGGCGACATTTTGAAAGGCAGGTGTTCGTTCGTGTTTTGGTAAATGTCGAATATCCGTTTGATGTTTAGTGTTATTTTGTAACCCAGTGTGCAGTCTTGTGTGTCCAATATGCCTTGGCATTAGTTCAGCACTTAATCTCCTTGGTTTCCTTGTCGTCTCCCATAAGTTAAGCTAATATTTTACTGCATGACAGTGCGTTACGTCTTATCACTTCTGATTTACTGAAAGGGGGCTTTTATTCGGTTAGTTTTTTGCTACAAGCTACTTGGAGAAATTTATAAGATAAACGAGTGAACTTCTTGCCCAATTTGGCGTCTAGAAAACTTCCTTCGAGCCGCTGTTTCATCATGGTAAAAATAATATCGTTTGCCTTTTTCACATTCAAATGAAGTAAATTCATAATCAGAAACAAACGAAAGACACAAATGGGGAGACAAATGTCTTAATCACTCTGACCCCGAAGGCCCTCCTGTTAAGAACGGCGAGGTATGAAAGGACACGTGATGACACGCTCTGGATTGCCGAGACTTTATTACAAAAAGCGAGGAACCAAAACAACAATATACTTATAGTATTCTGTAATCGACTGGCAAACCATTAGGAAAAAGCAACAAGCTAAAAGACTTCATTAAAATATTCACGGAAGATAATCCTTGCAAGGCAAACATTTTAAAATCTTTAAAAGCTCAAATGACTAATTCATGGAGATGAGAGTGTTTTCACTTTTCATCAGAGCAGTATATATTGTATTTCCTATAGATCTCTGGGTTCTGGTGTTGCAGGGGTGTGGATATATTTTTCATATGACTTTTGCCTGAGTTTGACTCCTCTAACATGAAGTTAATTATCATTTAACCTCATCCACATGTTTAGGAAAGTACAGTTTTAAGATCTCCTTCTCTCAAATATCCATGATC